ACAACTTCAATTATGACCACTGTTCTAGAGTAGAGTCCATGTCCTCGGAATGTAAACGGCATTTCATGCTCGATCACTGCTTTTACGAATGTTCACCCAATGTTGGCCCATGGGTCGTGTCGGTAAGTATTGCAGAACGTCTAAATTCTATATTTTAAAGGACTTTTATTTAACTAGGGTTTCTGCATTGTTTTAATAACTTAAACATGTTTAAACAATTATTTTTAATAATTAAAAATTTAACATTGTGCAAAACTTAAAAGGCTATTTTATAAAGTTTTTATTTTGGTATTCTGAAAGTGACTTCCCCTAAGCATTTAAATGGCATAGTGGCTTTTTTTTTTTTTTTTTTTTTTTTTTTTTTACCAAAAAATAAATTTGTCTAGACATGTAAGAGATTTGGCTCGCTAGTTCCTTTTGCAACGTTAAATAAATTTTCCCTGCAGGAAAATCGCTCGTGGCGGCGGGAAAGATACTGGGGAGTCCCTCTGTGTGCCATTGATTGAGCTTTGGTTTACTGCGTGTGCCAACGATGTCACTTGCACAGACAATTGGACCAACAATTTCATGTGGTTGAATATGACGGGTGATTGCCCAACAAAAGGAAGCTGCTTGACAAATTACTGCCCCGTAAATTCTACCTGTCAAACATTTAAAGAAATCTATAGGACAGCCCGGAACTTCTGTGAAAAGGTATGTTGAACACAACTTTTTTTTTTTTTTTTTTTTTTTTCTTCCCTCCCCACCTTTCTTGATTCAAAGTTCAGTGTATTATTGTCCATGTGACTTGCCAATTTTATATTTTCCAAATGCCCTAAAATTGGCTATTCAATGTTGGTTTAAATTCATAGGCCTAGAGAGTAGACTGCCCTCTTAATATTTTTCCTACCAAGATGGGAAAGGGGTTACTGAACATCTACAAATATCACAAAGATTGATGTGGCTTGATTGTTTCCAAATTTCAGTTTGGCAACTTTAATTGTTAAAATATTTTGATGCTATTTTCTTAATAGTACCTGCTATAAGACTCTGCCTCCTGTGTACATGTCTATTGATGCCCAGTAAAGGTGGTATCCCTTCCATATGACTTGCCAGACTGGCTTAATTATTACTAAAGTTGTTTACGCTTAACTATGCAACTTTTTTTCCAGCCTTCTCCTTAAACACTGACACGCCTAGTACCTGGTAAGGTTAAATGGTGTGCTTCAAAATTACCACTGTACAAGTGCATTTTTTCTCAATCAAGAAATGAGTTCATAAAAGTTCCTAAAGTCTTGCATAAACCATTCCCTTTAGTGAAGTTTAAAATATACCTGTACTTTAATACCTGCATTTTTATACAAAGTTGACTCTTCATTCTAGGTGTGGGACAATGCTTGGAAATATGCTGAACCGACAACACCATGTATGCACCTACAGTTCAACCAATCTGCCATCAATCCAAATGATGCTGTTGCTCTACATTATGCACAGATTATAGCTGGTTCCCAGATGCACAGCTGCAACCTAATGTGGTTTAGTATACAACTTGCTGTTTGGGCATTTATCAATAGAATATTGACAGTTGCATCCTAGACTTGGCTTGTTGCCATAGTTCATTAACTCTTTACTTTTGACTATAAACTTGCCCTTGCTGAGGGGAAACGATTCTACAGTATTAAAATGTTTACAAAGAAAAAAAAAATTCTGAGTGTAATATCCTGATCACATGAGTAATAGTGTGCTGTATTCTGGTTCTGCCCTTGTGCCTTGTCTACCTCTATTAAATTATCTGAAATGTGCCAGAAATAAAATGCTTCTTTATTTCTATCAGACATCACCCAATGAAATTTTGGTAGATTCTCAACCACATTGGAGTTGTCAAACTTGCAGCCAAGGCCATTTTACTTGTTCTGTTTCACACGTCCCCTCTCCCCCTTAAAAAAAAGTTAGTTTGGAAATCTGCTCAGTCATGTTCTGTGAATGTTGGCAAGGTCGTGGGCTTTGTTAAAACTAACAAACTGCACACCATCTCTTTTTTCTTGTATAGTCTTTAATATTCTTTAATATAGTCTTCTTTATTCTTTAGTATTTTAGTATTCTTCTTTATTCTTCTATTCTTTAGTATAGTCTTTAATATTTAGATTATTCAAGATAATGGACAGATGGTGCTAGTCTTCCCAGCTTGGTACTACCTTTTGATGACTGCCACAGTCCAGAGAGATTTTCTCTGGACTAAAAATCTCTCGCTTCCTCATTACATGTCCCATGCATTGTCCTGTCCCTGCCACCATCTCTCCCTCCTTACCAAACTAGGAAGACCCTCTAGGCAATTTTTTCTTTCTTAAATACTGCCATCTACATCTTGGTAATTTTGTCGCCACAGCTGCTGTACACCCTTCTCCTTGCTGCCCAATATTTAACAATTGTAGAGTGGATATAGAATTTAAAGCGTGTACATCAATCATCCACCCAGAATTGGCCAATTCTCCTTGCATATAGGCCAGAAGACTACTCTTCTGGCATGTCCTTGTAAATTCCTCCTCCATATTCTCCTTGGACCAAATGCATCCACAAAGTGCACAATTTTTTGTTGTTAAATTCTGGTAGACTGACTTGCATTCACTTGCCATACTAAAAGGTGATCTTTCTGCACTTTAATATACCTGGGTTGGTGGGGAAAGGGTGACCTTTACCTCTAAAACTTCAAGAATTGCCTTATCGGGAAAAAAATGGGGCAAGTTTCATTTTAAGACCTTACTGGAAACTTGCTACTACCTTTGTCTCTCTTGCTTTCATGTTAAATTTGTCCTTTTACTGCTATAAACTTGCCCTGCTCAATGCCATTCTTCGCTCCATCTCGTACTATCCCACATGTGGCAGAGAATGCTTTTCTTTAGGTTCTGACTGTGCTTACTCCTAGTGCATAGCCTGGAAGTCCCAGCACACTTGTAGATTTTGACTGAATTAATTCGACAAAATTTTTGCCCAAGTCTGAAATCTTGTATTGGGTCAGGTGAACACTGAAGGTGATCTATCCTTGGATACCTGGATAATAATTATTACAAATGGATAAAAATCTCCAAAGATGGTTACACACTTGCAACCGAATTCAATATCTGCTTTCTGTAAATTGGTGTCGACCTTGCCAGAAAATTACTAAAGACCCAGACAGATGTCACCAAGTCGCATCAGCAGCTATCCTATCACTACTCATCTTGCCAGTCAGCCCGACAGACATTCGTAATTCAATCATTTCAATCACAATCATTCACAATCAATCGCAATCACTAATTCAAACCACAGCTGGGAACATATTAGTGAAATAGTCTTTGGTATGAGTGTTGGGGGGGGGGGGCCCTCCCCCTGCTCTACCCATAGCGCTGCTATTCAACAAATCTGTCTTATTTTTACTGATATCCTCAAAGCAAGAGTGAGGCCATTTCAAAAGGGGCAAGACAGCTGACCTAAATTACAGACCAATATCAAATCTACTGATGCTTTCAAAAATTTTCATTTGATGGTGCTACATAACCTTACTGGTTTGGTGCCTTCTTTTTGATACTTATTTTCAAAAATATTTGAAAAATCGCTTACTGACTGCCCTATTTCTACTTTGAAAAACTTGACATCATTAAATCCCTACCAGTTTGGTACTCTTTTGGGAATGGATGCCAATGCCATTATTAGGCTGCTCAATATAATCCATAAAGCCCTTGTCAGAATAAAGTTCCCAATTGGCCTTGTTATTGACCTGTGAAAAGCCTTTGATATTGTAAATCATAACTACCTCTTAAACTTTACCATGGTATCAGAGGCCTAGCTCTGGATTATTAGTTCCTTTATTGGTGATGCACCATTATGGAGCCATCAATAACTTGACCCCCCCCCCTATCTACCATTGACAGTAGGAATGCCACAGGGCAGCATCTTGGGGCCCTTTATTTCTTATATCAATGATTTGCTAAATGTTTGTAACATTCTTAAACCTATACTATTTGCTGACAATACTACCTTTCCTCTATTCTGACTCTAGAAATCCAACATTCTCTGTGTAACTCATCTTGTATATACTTTTATCTGAATAAACAGATATACCGGTCTCATCTCACACTCGTGGATAATGGGTTCGATTCCCGGCGGGACAGAAATGGTTGGGCACCTTTCCTTTCACATAATGCCTCTGTTCACCTAGTAGTAAATAGATGCATCCTGGGGAAGGTTAGAAATTCGACCTTGTGACACACACTAGTGGTTAAACATCCCCTTTGTCGTTAAAAAGACTAGTTTCTATAGCACCTATCTTACCTTGTCAAAGTAAGAAAGACGTAACCATCACTGTGTTCAAGAGGGGACTCGATAAGCACCTCCAACGGATACCTGATCAACCAGGCTGCGAGCAGCCGCGTCCAACAGCCTGGTTGACTAGTCCAGCAACGAGGAGGCCTGGGCGATGACTGGGCCGTAGGGACGCTAAGCCCCGAAATCAACTCGAGGTATAATGAAGGTAAGATAGTCCCTCTGCTCAGATCCCAAATCATGTTTAATAAACATGCACATACTCCACGTGTGCTATTTACAATTGCAAAACTTAGTTATACCACTACACTAATTCTGACTGGACGCTCTTCCTAAATAGATGTAATAGAACCCATGTGCACGAGTCACAACTGGTGACATATGAACACTTCACGAACAAGTGCCTCGCTGAAGACTTTCGTTCAAACCACAACGCTGAAAATGCTTCTCACGTACAGTACTACTAATACAAATAATCGTCAAAAGAACCTAAACACCTAGCCTAACCAATGCCTAAATATGCTTATATATAATACAGTATTAATTTATATTTAAGAAAATTCCTATTTTGAATGAACAGCATGTTAAAATTGATAAATGTGTCTTTGGGGTGAACCGCTGGATGGAATGAACTTGGTCAGAAGACAGGCTGCTTGAAATACCAAATACTGTTCCACGATCCCCCATCGAGGACAATCATATGTTGTATTTTGATAATAATAATAATAATAATAATTTATTTACGAATATACAAAGGATCAAGTACAGTGGTTACTCAGTAGGTACAGTATTTGTATAGTTTGAAATAACACTTAAACTACTCAGCATTTCCGGCATAACTCAATGCTAATACTAAACAGTATTAATTAATGCTTAATTCATTAGTATTTAATGAATTACAGCATTAATAAATTTAGCAAATATAATTTTTATAAAGTAATATATTTAATGATGAAATGAATAAACTGTTTCACTTTTATGTCAATACCAGCAAACTCACCTTAAGTTATTTAGGATGAATGTGTGATAATTTTGTTAAATGATGATAATTAGTTTGTTTTCTCAACATTATGTTCATATGTAACTCAAGACATCTTCATTAGCTTTTTGCCGTACTGTAAATAAACCAAGAAGCCAAACTTACTCATTAATGCTGTACAGTATGTACAAAATTTATTGTTTTCTTCTTATAATTACTTAAATATGTTTATTAACAAAACATTATTTTTACTTTGAAAATCAAACTTACAAATGTTACGATATATACATATAATAATAATAATTCATTGTATCGGGGGACAGGAAGCCAGAGTGTATTTATACACATTAGGCTTTTATCAAGGTCTCAAGGCTGAATTATTGACCCTGCCAAGGATGCAACCCCCCCACAACAAACTGACAAACTTTTGAGTACTTACTTACTGTTAGGTAAACAGAGGCATTAAGTGAAAGGAAATGTTCCCAACCATTTCTGTCCCGCCTGGGATTCGAACCCAGAATTCTCAATTGTACGTCGAGAATAAACCCGACTAATCCTCAGATTTCAATTACAGTGGTACCTCGGTTTATGAATGCCCCTCTTTATGAACTTTTCAAGGTTACGAGCCTGATTTCTTCCGAAAATTTGAATCAGGTTCGCTCACAGGGAAATTTGCTTCGGGTTTACGAATTTTCGGGTTACAAGCAGTCTCCAGGAACAGATTAAATTCGTAAACTGAGGTACCCCTTTATTGTGAACAGTCAAACATGGTTACCTAACACATGAGTGAATGTAAAGATTTAAAATAGGCTTCTTGTTCAGTAGTTGCAAGAGAATGTATTCGCAACTCAGACAGATTACAGCATGATCAGCAGGCCTCTCGAGCATTCACAATGTCACTAAACTGATGTACTAAATTGCCCAAACCTAACCTAACCGAGGACCCTAACCAAATTTTGCAAGCCACTATGATTTTTAGGACAGTACATCATTTTCTGACTTAAAACCTCCATATCTGAAAGGATACGGAAGTTGCTCTCACTCACTGTCCTCATTTTAATCAGTTTTTCATTATATCAAGATTCCTAAATGAACATGTAATGTACTTACCACACCTTGTGAGGCATCAGTTATAAGGAATTACCAAAGCTCTACCTGTTGCATCATACCAGCTTTGTTGTGTCCAGGTTCCAATGACTCAAAACATTGCATATTATCATTCATACAAAAAAAAAAAAAAAAAAGGCACACTTTGTCAGGGTTCTACTCTTTTGGCCAGAAAAAGCCTGTTATGCTATACTGCATTCAACTGCTTTCAGCCTATATTATTGTATAATCCTATTGTATAATAAGATAGTATTATGATTAATTGACAAAATTTAAGTACTGTATGTGTTTTATTAAAATATTTTTGTTAATTTTTGTTAAATGAGTGAGATGATAATGAAGTGAACAAATCCACAAGGCCCGTGACGAGAATTAGAACCTGCGTCCAAGAGCATTTGAATCCTCGTCACAGCCCTTGTGGATTTGTTCATTTGATACATCACGCTATTGTGATTTCTGTGTGTAATGATAATGAAGTCTTTTTTTTTTTTACAAGAGGCTATACATGGAGTTAGCATTATTTTTCTTTAAAAAAAATAGTTGAAATCTATATGAAGCTTTTTATTTTACATAACACTATCTATGAAGCATAACTGTATCTTTACTGCATTACAGTATATATTATTTCTCTGCAGCTTATGGTTTACAAAAGATGAATACATCTGGCAAACATCATGAATGAGACTTTTTTTTAGGGACAGAAGAGCTTAAGAATACTGTACATAACAGTTCTCCACGGGTGCTAAATGTACATTTATGGTCAGGGAATAAGCAAATTAATAGTAACAAGTTAAAGGTCCATAAAGTGATGTCCAAAGTAAATGTTTAAGCAGATAATACTACTGAGCTACAGCCCTGTACTCTACACATTTGGAAGGGTCTGCTGGGAAATACTGTTGACATTTTGTCATAAGGCGTTTCAAACCCTGGATGTACTTTCGCTGTGTCTCATCATTTAGGACATGAGCTACGTGTTTACTGAAGATCTTTTCTCGTCCAGTACGTGCATGGATACCAACCATGGTGACACCAATTGGCCAAGGTGCATTTCCAATAGCCATCTGCAAATAAGCATCATTCGCTTTAACATAATCACCATCTAAACAGTGTTGTACAATTTCTACAAGGCACTCCATAATGTCGTCTGGTAGGGAGCGCTTCTTGAGACATTTAATAAGTGGCTTCAGATATGCCTGTGTTTGTGTATAAGTAGCAGAGTCCATCTTGCCTCTACAACTCATCTTCTCCCCTTCAGGCCTTGCATTATGTTTACTACCCCACAGCTGTAGTATAAGCTGTACAAACTTGAAAATCACTTTGCATCTTAATTCATTAGTGGCATTGCCATTGTTGAGGTCCTTTGCCATTTCAATTACACTTTCCATGGTGATGGTTTCACCACAGAGTGCCACATTACGCGCTCCTTCACCATCTTCTGTCTTTAAAATTTCATTTAAATATGCCTGATCTACACGCTCAAGAGCTTCTTGGAAGTCATTTCTTAGACCTCTATTGACCTCAGGTTCTAATATTTCTAGTCTTCTTAATCTTCGGAAGGCATCTTGTTCACTCTCACCAAAAAGTAAGATGGGTTCTTCTCGTTCTCGTAATCGACGAATAACCTCCACACGTGGCAACTCTGGAGCATCTCCAACATCCTCTTCATTCACTGCATCCCGAGACACCGAAGAATCATTTTCGTTAACAGAGGAACCTCCATGTCCACTGCTACCACCCACTGATCCAATTCCACACTTTTTCCAATATGCTTCTGCCTGTCGAGCACCCAAATCACCTCTCTTGAAATATTTTTTATCTCCTTCAAAAACATTACTTTCTTCAAGTGATCTTTTCTTGGCAGCAATTTCTTTTTTCAGTAAGCTCAGCATATTGCACTGAAAAAAAAAAAAATATATATAGGTTATTAAAAGCTGCCTAATTCAAAGCAGAAAAATCTAACACTACAAACTGAAGGCTAGTTTTATAGGTACTGTAGACCCCTATATAAAATGCATGCACATACATACATGCACATTATATATATATATATATATATATATTATATATATATATTATATATATATATATGTCGTACCTAGTAGCCAGAACTCACTTCTCAGCCTACTATGCAAGGCCCGATTTGCCTAATAAGCCAAGTTTTCATGAATTAATTGTTTTTTGACTACCTAACCTACCTAACCTAACCTAACCTAACTTTTTCGGCTACCTAACCTAACCTAACCTATAAAGATAGGTTAGGTTAGGTTAGGTAGGGTTGGTTAGGTTCGGTCATATATCTACATTAATTTTAACTCCAAAAAAATAAAATTGACCTCATACATAATGAAATGGTTAGCTTTATCATTTCATAAGAAAAAAATTAGAGAAAATATATTATTTCAGGAAAACTTGGCTTATTAGGCAAATCGGGCCTTGCAAAGTAGGCTGAAAAGTGCGTTCTGGCTACTAGGTACGACATATATATATATATATATATATATATATATATATATATATATATATATATATATATATATATATATATATATATATATATATATATATATATATATATATATATATATATATATATATATATATATATATATATATATATATATATATAGATATATATAATATAGATATATATAATATATATATATATATATATATATATATATATATATATATATATATATATATATATATATATATATATATATATATATATATATATATATATATATATATATATATGTCGTACAGAACGCACTTCTCAGCACTTCTAATAGCCAGAACGCACTTCTCAGCCTACTATGCAAGGCCCAATTTGCCTAATAAGCCAAGTTTTCCTGAATTAATATATTTTCTCTAATTTTTTTCTTATGAAATGATAAAGCTACCCATTCCATTATGTATGAGGTCAATTTTTTTTTATTGGAGTTAAAATTAACGTAGATATAGGACCGAACCTAACCAACCCTACCTAACCTAACATATCTTTATAGGTTAGGTTAGGTAGCCGAAAAAGTTAGGTTAGGTTAGGTTAGGTTAGGTAGGTTAGGATGTCGAAAAACAATTAATTCATGAAAACTCGGCTTATTAGGCAAATCGGGCCTTGCATAGTAGGCTGAGAAGTGCGTTCTGGCTACTAGGTACGACATATATATATATATATATATATATATATATATATATATATATATATATATATATATATATATATATATATATATATATATATATATATATATATATATATATATATATATATTGTAATATACATCAAATAATGTGTCATTTATATATATATATATATATATATATATATATATATATATATATATATATATATATTATATATGTATGTATGTATGTTGTACCTAGTAGCCAGAATGCAGTACTCGGCTTACTATGCAAGGCCCAATTTTCCTAACAAGCCAAGTTTTCCTGAATTTATATATTTTTCTAACAAAAATTCTTATGAAATGATAAAGCTATCGATTTCATTATGCACGAGTTATTTTTTTTTAACTTGAGTTAAAACTAACGTACTGTAGATATATGACCAAATCTAACCTAAACTAACATAAGTCAATAATTTATGTTCTTAATACAATATAATAATTTTAATTCAACTAAGCCAATTGGAATTTTTTTTTTTGAAAATGAAGAAAATTACTCTGCCTATTAGGCAAATTGGACCTTGCACAGTAGGCCAAGAAGTGTGTTCTGACTACTAGACTATATATATTTATTTATTTGGTGGGGTGGCCACCTTCAGGGGAGACCCAGAAAACTAACAAGTACTGTACAGGGGACCTAAAATGTTGTTACAGGTTCGTGCCAATAGGCTCTGAAACCCTGGACGCCTGGGGTAAATGTGCACTTAAGTTCCTAAAGGAGGTGGGTGAGGAACTCATTGGGAAAACTAAAGACTCAAGAGCGGCCAGTTTCCTGTTCCAGTGCCTGAGTGTCGCGGTCCAGAGAGGAAATGCGTGCTGTATCACGCATTGGGCACGCACACAACCTCCGAAGAGCTGGATGAGGTTTTCGAAGATTGATTGTTATACATATTTAGCAGAAAATGACACATTATTTGATGTATATTACAAAACTGAATATGAATAATACTGAATATTATTTGGGGTGGTTTTTTCCATTTGTATTATATTTCTATAAGAAAAGTTAGTGATTGTTCCATGTACAATCAATGGTACCAAAGTGGTTGGGCACCATTCTTCTTCCCCATTCCCTCCCAAATCCTTATCCTGATCCCTTCCAAGTGATATACAGTATAATCATAATGGTGCTTTCTCCTGATAGTTCCCTTCCCCTTCTATGTACTGTGCAATGAAAAAGAATTAAAATCATTAGATAGTAAAATAAAAATTACTGAAACAAAAAATTAAATTTTACTTGTTATAATATAGAAAAATGGTGTTCTAGTACAGGGGTACATAGAATATAATTACCACAACCAATAAGCTTATTCACTAAAGAATTTCATATCATGTAATAAAAAAAATATACACGTACTGTCTTTTATTTAAAGTGATTTGGTTATTTTAACAACATTTATAATTAGAAAAAGCCAGCGTTGAATGTAATGAAAAGCCCTTTTCTTGGGGTAGCCCCAAAGGCTCCCTGAAGCTATCCAAACTGATTACAGTATGTGCTTTAATAGTTTGGGGTCATCAGTCACTTGGAGTTTTTAGCCTACCAGGGGCCACGAGCCAATCAAACAAGCAAGGTACCTCACTGGACCGATCTGACGCCCGGGTTTGAACACCGAACAAGCAGTGCCTGAAACCAAGGTTGGGCTAGCCCAGCCTTGGTTGGGCAAATATATATGCTCAAGGCAAACGCCCAAGAAAAAAATTCAAAACACACAACAAAAAAGTGGCAAACGCCAAACAAAAAAGTGACAAACACACAACAAAAATGTAGCAAATGCTTAACAAAAAAGTGGCAAATGTCCAACAAAAAAGTGTCAAATGCCCAACAAAAAGGTGCAAAATGCCCACCAAAAAACTTAAAAAAAGAAAGTGTTAGGGACATTTTATTTGGGCTTTTGGCACTTTCTTGTTGGTCGTTTTGTATTTTTTTTTGTTCGGTGTTTTGGATTTTTTTGTTGGGCATTTTGGATTGTTTTTGATGGGCATTTTGGATTGTTTTTGTTGGGCATTTTGGATTGTTTTTGATGGGCATTTTGGATTTTTTTGTTGGGCATTTTGGATTGTTTTTGATGGGCATTTTGGATTGCTTTTGTTGGGCATTTTGGATTATTAGCAAGCAACAGTACTTGATTATCAAGTTCATAAATTGAACTTGATTATCAAGTTCATAAATTATCAAGTACTTGCTTATCAAGTTCATAAGTTGATTCTAATATACAGAATTATTGATATATTACTTCCACTATGCCATGATACAAACAACATTGTGACACCTCAATTACATAACAAATATTGAATTAATTGGTGTAGTGTAAATGAGGTGAGGGGTAAAGAAAGGTATTCTTGGCTATATTTAGTGGTGTAGGTATTGCATGGGTGGCATTTTGTTCTCTTGCCACCAGATAGGAGCACCTACTGGATTTGAATTCCTGTTCTGATGCTCAAATTGTCTGGTCAAATGTGACATACATATTTTTGAGGCACCTGGGTTCAATTAAATTACAGTATCTCTGGAAACAACTATTTTTTACACACAGAAATCACAATAGCGTGATGTATCAAATGAACAAATCCTCGTCGAGGTAGAACGGCCTATTGACATAGCTCGAGTGCATGGGGGAATTGTGTAAAACCCTGGTTTGTGTCTCGGAGAGGCTGCAGGATCCAAGTAAGTTAGGTATTCTGGTTTCAACTCTTTTGACCATGTTGTAGCTCAGTCGATTAAGGCAGTGTCTGGGATGATCTCGAATGTAGGTTCGAATCCTCGTCACGGCCCTTGTGGATTTGTTCACGACTATTTTTTGTCAAATGCACAAATTCAGACTCACATTGAGAGTTAAGCCCCACTTCCAACCTGCTCCTAATGATATAATATCCCCATCATTATTTAGAACCAGGTGACAGGAGGGGCATTCTACATAGCCTACATGTATTTACACATAAGCAGTATTTTACCCAGCATTATGTTATTGTGTATCTAAATTGTGTAGTGTCTAATGGGCCTGCATCCAATGTACAGTATCCATGATTCTTAAAGTTAGACAAAGGGTTTGCTAAATTGACATTTACAATGAAAAAACTATTCCTTACAATATTATACAGTACTGTTACACTATTATCATGGCAAGGTTTTGCTTCATGATTAGATACTGAAACCTGTTGGTTAGTACTGCATTAAATACACACGGTGTATCCATGTGTTTGGATCAGACGTCACCATTGTTACAACACACTATTCAGCGTGGTGCCTCGAGCACACACTCTTCCACCAATTACATTGTTTTAATTATCTACCTATCTGATGTGCATGTTAATATATTTTAGCACGTTTCCTTTCACCTAATGCCTCGGCTCACCTAGCAGTCAATAGGTACCCAGGAGTTAGGCAATTGTTGGTAGGGTCAGTAGTTTGACCTAGTGGGGGGGGGGGGGAAGTATTTAATTCTATTTCTATTGAATTGATTTAATTCCCTGTCCCTGACAATGGGAATTATTATGATTATGGAGTTATCTACACACGTACCTGCGAAGTATACAAGACAGGAGGAGCTTGGAGCGACGAGCGACCATGGAGGGCCCAGCTGGTGCGTTGTTTACTGTGTCCGGTTCCTGCGCCTCACTCCACTACTTACATTATTTTTTCAAAATATGTACTAGTTAATAAATATTTATTTATTTATAATATAAAACTAATTATAACGCGAATTTAAGAACAAGTTTGCTGCAATATGATTCTATAATCACTTTATAACGGATGAGGGAATTCGAACACCGTCGCTTGATGAGAGGATGAAACTTGTCTCTCCTTCCTGGCATTTTTTTTTATTTATATATATGAATTGTTACATTCTTGTACAGCCACTAGTACGCATAACGTTTCGGGCAAGTCCTTAATCCTATGTCCCTGGAATACGACCCGGCCAAATCGTTTAACGTTTTCATTTTACTGTTGGGTAAACAGAGGCTACAGTTAAGGACGGGCGCCCAGTAAATTAAGTTTTAATTGATTTATTTTACCCCCTCCCCTTCCGGCCCGTTGGCGTCGTGAGGGGGCTTGGTGGACGGCTGCCGGAGTGTGATGCTCCGTTGGGCAGTCCTCTGTCCTTTTCTGGCCTTGCACTCCTGCTGCTGTCTTCTCCAATTGTGCCGGATCGCTTTTCCTTTTCCTTATGTTTCGTTTTTCTCCCCCCTCTTCTCCTATCTGCTTGTCGTTTCCTGCCGACCTTTTGCTTGTTTTGGATTATTTCTTTGGACTTCTTCTATTTTGACGCCCGGGTGCTTGAGGAGGCATACTCTTGCACCCGTAGAACTGTAGTACCCGACGTCTCGAGCGAGGGGAACCTTTTATTGTCAATCCCCCTTTCGTCGCTGAACCCGATCTCGACGGACTGACGGTTCTTAAGGTGGCGTTTGTGGGGCGTATACTCACGACGCACCCCTAGGGGGCCCCGGCATGATCAGCGATAGCTTCCTGTTGGGTGTCCTGCCTCTAATTGTGGCTCCATGGTGGGTATGGGGGCACATTCGTGGATGAATTTGTCACTTTTCGTCTCTATGTCGTTGAATGTTTCCGTTGTACCCTCTCAGGCTCGTGGGGTGGGCGACCAAGCCCCCGAGTCGGCCTGTATTGGAAGACCAGGCTCTGTAGCTCCCGCTGCGTTGGGCCCCGACCTTGCTCCTCCTTTGACCGTCCTGACTTCTTCCCCCAGCTCCCCTCCCTCCTCTGAGGTTGGGTCGAGCCTCCAGCCCCCGGTGGTGACCACTTCGTCCCCTGGTGTGGCTAAGTCTTTCGTTGTGACTACTGCGCCTTTTGACCCCTCTCTCTCTAGGGGTTCTCAACGCCGTTCGCGCCCCAACCGCACTCGCTCGATTCCTTCCCGTGCTGATGCGTATCAGGCCTTGTTTGGTCCTGCTTCATGGGCCAAATACTTTGATCTCCTCCCTCTTGATTCTGCGCCTCCTGACGATTTCTCCCTCCATCGGCATCTTGTAGATTCCGTGGATGCGTGTGTTACTTTCAACCCCACTCGTCTCGGTACACGTGTCGTTGCTGCTCCTTCTCAGGATGCGGCTTCCCGCTTGGCTGCCTTATCTTGCCTTGGCGAGATCCCTGTTCGGGTCTCCAAGAACGTTCAGATGAATTCCAGTGTTGGCACTATTCTCCTCCCACCCCATGTTGCAACCGGTGTTCGGAATCTGCAGGATTGCCACGATGATATTCGGCATATCCTTGATGCCCAAGGCCATTCTGTCCTCCAGGTTGACTCGTTTACTCGTCCCCCTCGTGGTCGTCGCCGTCAACCCCTTCGCGTTGTGAAGATCACCTTTGATGGTAGGACCCTTCCATCCTCTGTCATTCTTGCTGGTGCTAGGTGCTCTGTCCAGGAGTATATTCCTTCTCCTCGACTTTGTAATAAGTGCTGGAGGTTTGGGCATGGTGCCCTCCGCTGCTCTGGGACTGTCTCTCTCTGTCCTTTGTGTGGGAGTGAAGGTCACTCTAAGTCGGAGTGCACTTCTCCCCAAGCTCGCTGCCTCAACTGCGGTGAGGCCCATCCTACGTTCTCCCGTGCCTGTGTCCATTACAAGCTTGAGGCGGCCGTCCTTAACCTGAAGCACCGGGAGCGTTTGTCTTTTCCTGAGGCGAGGCGCCAGGTTCGCCGGCTCCCACCTTATACTAACATCTCTTATGCTCGCGTGTTGCGCTCTTCCTCTCCTCGTCCTTCCCCCCTTCCTCAGACTCTCAACCGTTTCCGGGCCTTGGACCCTGATACGCCCACTGCCCCCTCCTCTGTTCCTTTGAGTTCTTTCCCAAGGGGTCCCCCTCCTGGTCCTCTGTCTAGGGTTCCCCTTCTTTCAACCCGGTCTGTCATGTCTCCTGTGTCTTCTTCCTCGTCCCCCTCCGATCCTCCTTCCCATCCTCTTCCTCCATCTATCGGCTCTCCCCGCCGCCTGTCGGTGCAGGCGGATGTCCATCGCTCTCCTAACGGCCGTCGTGTGTGCTCTCGTTCGGCTTCTCCTGTTGAGACACTGGAATCCGTTGCCCGGTACGTAGTTGCTGGGACACCTGTCTCTTTAAGTCAGAAGCGTAAGCCTGGCTCCTCTCCTTCCTCTTCCCCGGCGGGTAAGAAGGCTTCGCTTTCTTCCTTAGCTCCTACTTCTGGCTCTGTTGCTCCTTCCCCTCCCGTTTCAGTGGTTGCGCCCCCTGTTCCTGCTATGGAGGTTTCTTTGGCCCCTGCTTCCCTTTCGGTTGCTGCTCTTGCTGGGGTGCGCTCCCCTCTTTCTACTCCCCCTCTTCCTACTCCCCCTCTTCCTACTGCTGTCCTTGACTGCTCCTCTCCGTTGTCTCCTCCTCTTCCTCCTCCTCCTCCGGACCCCGCCCGCCCACCTCTGATCTGTTCTCCCGTTTCCTTCCCTCCGTCTTTGCTCAGTTTACCCATGCCCCCTAACCCTGACTTTGCTGACCCTGATCCCGACCCTGATATTCTTTAACGTGCTCTGTTGCTCTTTCGCCTTTGTTTCTTCCTTGTTCTCTGTTTTTGTCCTTTCTCTTCCCGTCGTTGTCCATTCTTCAATGGAACGTTCGAGGTTATTACGCCAATTTCCTCGAACTCCAACTTCTGATTTCGCGGTTTTCGCCCCTTTGTGTCTGTCTCCAGGAGCCAATGCTTGGTGCTCGTCCTGGTCGTTTTCGTGGCTATTCCTTTCTCTCCCCCCCCCGGCCATTGCTGGGGCTTCTAATTCTTCTGCTCTCTTGATTCGTGCAGATGTTCCCTTTGTTCCTTTACTTTTTCCTTCGCCTCTCCATTGTTTTGCTGCTCGTATCTTTGTGGGGAAATGGTACACAGTTTGTTCCATTTATCTCCCCCCGAGTGTCCCGCTCTCTCTTCCTGATTTGAAACACCTCCTAGACTCCTTGCCGGAGCCTGTGCTCCTGCTGGGTGACTTCAATTGTCGTCATTCTCTATGGGGTGACGTTCTGACGAATACCCGGGGTCGCCTCCTTGAGCCGTTTCTCCTATCTTCTTCCCTGTCTCTTCTGAATTCTGGTGAGCCCACTCATTTGGACTCTCGGACTCGCACCCTTTCTTGTCTTGATCTTTCTCTCTGCTCTTCTTCTCTTTACTTAGATTTCACGTGGCAGGTTCTTGATGACCTCCATGGAAGTGATCATTTCCCCATCCTTGTTTCCTTTTTCTCTTTTCGCCCTTCCCTCTCTTTCCCTAGGTGGCAGTTTGCTAAGGCAGACTGGACCCTATTTACCCTCAGTGCTGCTCTCTCTGACCTCTCCCTTCTGCCTCTCTCTCGCGCTCTCCTCCTTTTTCATGACACTGTCTTCAACGCTGCCCTCCGCTCTATTCCTCGCTCTTCCTCTCGGGGTCCACGGAAGTGCGTTCCCTGGTGGAATGCGGACTGTGCTCGGGCTGTCCGCTGTAAGCGTGCAGCCTGGAAGAGGCACCGCCGTAGGCAGACGACCGATTCTTTTCTTTTCTTTCGGAAAGCGAGTGCGGTGGCCCGTAGGGCCATCCGTACGGCTAAACGTGAATGTTGGGCATCTTATGTCTCAACAATTACGTCCGAAACCCCTCTGGCCCAGATCTGGAAGCGTATCCGCAAGATAGCGGGTAAGTTCGTTCCCGATGTTTCACCGGTCCTTCACCTCCATGATACTCTTGTGGCGGACCCGTTGCAGGTCGCTTCCGAACTGGGTTCCCACTTTTCTTTTGTTAGCTCTGGTCTTCATCTTCCCCAATCTTTCCTTCTTCGTAAACCTGTCCTTGAGTCTCGTCCTTTAGATTTCTGCACTCATCTTCAGCTTCCCTATAATGATCCCTTCTCTCTCTCTGAACTTCGTTCTGCTCTGGCCCTCTGCGGTTCTACGGCAGCGGGCTCCGATGGTATTCATTATGAGATGCTTCGCCATCTCCCTCCGAGCACGTCTCAGTATTTACTGAGTCTGTATAATCGGATCTGGGAGTCGTCGTCAGTCCCTGAGGACTGGCTCGATGCCGTTGTCCTCCCTGTTCGCAAACCGGGGTCTCTGGGTACTTCCCCTAAGGACTTTCGCCCTATTGCTCTCGCAAGTTGTGTCTGCAAACTTTTTGAACGTATGGTTAACGTTCGTCTGATGTGGTTCCTGGAACACCATCACCTCCTCTCCCCTTCTCAATTTGGTTTCCGCAAGTGCCGCAGCACGACAGATGTCCTGGTGAACTTGGAGGTCTATATTCGTACTGCTTTTGCTGCGAAGACCTCCGTTGTTGCCGTCCTTTTTGACCTGGAAAAGGCTTACGACACCACTTGGCGTTATCATATCCTATCTCAACTTCATTCTTTTGGCCTTCGTGGTCATCTCCCTCTCTTTCTCCGCAGCTTCCTCTCTCGTCGTTCCTTTCGGGTGCGCCTTGGTACCGTTCTCTCCCTCTTTTCAGCAATACGAAGGTGTGCCCCAGGGTAGTGTTCTGAGCACTACTCTTTTTCTGGTTGCCCTCAATGGTCTTCTTTCCTCTCTTCCTTCTGGTGTCTTCTCCGCTCTCTATGTCGATGATCTTACCCTTTGTTATCAGGGTGATGATTCGCCTCTCCTTCAACGCCGGCTTCAACTTGCAATTGATGCCGTGTCGTCTTGGGCCACTGATCATGGCTTCAAGTTCTCTACTTCTAAGACTTGTGCCATGACATTTACGCGGAAACGGGTTGTTCTTCGTCCCTCTTTGTCACTTTATGGTCATCCCCTTGAATACAAAGATTCCGCGAAGCTTTTGGGGTTATTCCTTGACACTCGTTTGTCTTGGTCTCCCCATATCTCTTACCTCCGTGTTGAGTGCTCTAAGGCCCTTACCCTCCTTCGGGTCTTGTCCCATACTTCTTGGGGGGCAGATAGGCGCACTCTCCTTGCTTTACATTCCTCTCTCGTCCTGTCTAAGCTCGATTATGGTTGCCCTGCTTACTCGTCTGCTTCTCCTTCTACTCTTCGCCGTCTTGATGCTTTGCACCATACTGGGTTGCGCCTCAGTTCTGGTGCCTTTCGTTCGACTCCCGTCCTTAGCTTGTATGTTGACACTGGCTTCCTGTCTCTCCAGGACCGCCGTGATCGCTACTGTCTTCGCTATCTTGCGCGGTCCTTGCAACATCCTTCCTCTCGCCTCTGTCGTGCTTTAACTTTTACCCCTCCTGCGGTTCCTGTTCCTCTTCACCACCTCCCTCTTTCTGTCCGGTTATCTCGCCTGCAGGATTCTCTTTCCGTTCGTATTTCTGATGTTTCTCCTCGTGTTGTTCCTTCTTTGCCCCCGTGGAGGGTCCCTCTTCCGCGGTTTTGTACTTCCTTGACCCGTATCACTAAAGCTTTTACCCCTCCTACGGTTCTAAAACGCCTTTTCCTCGAGCACTTTTCTTCTCACTCCCGCTCCGTTTCTGTCTTCACCGATGGGTCTAAGTCAGCGGACGGTGTTGGCTACTCTGTTGTTTTTCCTGATCGCACTTATATGTGTCGCTTGCCTCCGGAGACTAGCATCTTTACAGCGGAACTTTATGCTATTCTCTATGCTCTTCGTCTCCTACTTTCTCGTTGTCAGTCTTCCTTTGTAGTTGTTGTTGACTCTCGTAGTGCCCTCATGGCTCTCGGGTCCTTTAATCCAGTTCATCCAGTGGTTGTCGAGATCCAGCATTGGCTGTTTCTCGTTCATAGTAAATTTAAGTCGGTTGAGTTTTGTTGGGTTCCCAGCCATATTGGTGTGTCTTTAAATGAGCGTGCGGATGCTGCCGCCAAGGAAGCTGTCCGCTCTTGTCCCATCTCTCGTAAGGGCATTCCGTATTCCGACTTTTACCCGGTTATCCATTCTTCAGTCCTTACCCGTTGGCAGGCTTCTTGGTTGTCTGTTACTGGTAACAAGCTACGTACTCTTAAATGTTGTGTTTCCTCGTGGCAGTCCTCCTTCCACCGTAACCGGCGGTGGGAAACAGCTCTGGCGAGGTTGCGTATTGGCCATACTCGCTTAACCCATGGTCACTTGATGGAGCGCCGCCCTGCTCCTTATTGTCCTAGTTGCATTGTCCCTCTTACGGTCGTGCATGTCCTCCTTGAATGTCCTGCCTTCCAGGACGAGCGTATGTCTTGCTTTCCGACCGCCCCTCGCGGTCACCTGTCCCTCGATAGAATTCTTGGTGACTCGGATACTTTTGATATCGTTCGCCTTATGCGTTTTTGTTCTCGTATTGGCATCCTTGGTGATATTTAGCGCCCTCTGATTATTTTGCGTCTTTGATGGTGCTACATAGCCTTCCCGGTTTGGTGCCTTCTTTTGATAATTACTTACTTACTTATTTATTTTATTATGCACCCCATACCTATTTTGTGGGTGGTAGTGGAAAGGGTTACAGAGGCACATAATGGGCTCAGGAACTGAACCCCACAATTCATTTAACTAACCAAGTTAAATCTTGATGAGCTAGTAACAAATTTCAGTGCACATGTCACTTCAACAATGGGCTTGAGACCGACCACAAGTACAGTCTCTAAATTAAGCAACTGACATGTGGTCCGTTTTATTGGGGACATGAAGTCTGTACACGTATATTATTGAATGTGACCAGAAGGGCGAAATTCATAATTCTAGTGCGAATCTTCTCTATTTTCCTTGCATTTTGCTTCACTTGAGAAAAAGTTGAAAAATTAACTCTTCAAAGTTCATTTTTAGTTTTATTTGACCTGACGCTAAGAGATGCCCTTCAGATAGACAATGTTAACAAATTGTTAACATCAGCAGAAAAAAAAAAAAAGATTTAAAGTTCCTTGGTGTATACCTAGACAAGACTCAACTTCAGCACCCACATACAGCACAACCAAAACAGTCTCAAAAATGTTCAGTATACTTTCTATAATCAGATATTAAGTTCCCCACTCTGCTCTCCTCTTATTGTGGCTTTACAAGAATGTAAAAACATCAATGCTATATACTCTCATAAACCCAATGTACCTTCTTGTATATATATAAATAAATATAATAAATAAAAAGAATAAATAAATAAATAACTCCCAGGTTACCCATTTACTGCTAATGAACAGAAGCCTCAGGTGTAAGGAAATGTACCCAAATGTCTTTTTCTGCACAGGAATAAAACTCAGAACCATTCACATGGAAGGTGACTGCACTGATCACTACATTACAGGTTAACTATATAGTCAACTAGTGCATTTACATGTTTAAGAAAAGGTAGTAAAACAATTATCGACATATGAAAAAACTGTATTTAAATATTTCACATATGAACATCAATATAATTATACGGCATTACACAGGAATCTTTGGCACAATTTTTGTTTCTGATCTAATTAAATTACATTTCTCAAGAGAGAATGAGACAAAAATATAAAAAATTATGGAACAATTTAAGACCAGAAAAATCTATGAACATTCTTCATATTTTTAACTCATAACACATATTATATCAGACATCAAGACATAATAAAACATGACTAAAACATTTATATACAAAATAGTTTCTAATAAAAATAATGTACAATGAATGAAAGTAAACAGCAATACTGGAATAATATAAATATCACAGAGTAGTCAAATACAGTATTTTGAGATTGGAGACTGTCTAAAGACATCTATTTACACTGTATTAAAATATTTTTACTTCGTCTGCCATCCACAATATGAGCATGGAATAGGTCATGACACAAGTGGTAGTTATGTTCTGCTAGAAAGTCTTGTATTTTGTCTCTCAAAATATCAAATAACACTATATGAGTTGGTAAAGCTTTGTATACAGACTGAGAAAATTTACTGCTGGAATGATTTAATTCACTGTTTTTCCCATAGTCTATAATATGGACTGGATTCTCTTGTGTACCTGAAACCGAGTGTGTGTGTGTGACAAAGTTGGAGGCTTTGCCATATTCTTGATGTAGCCAGCCAAGAGGATCTTGCTCAAATATATCTGCTTCATCTAAATAATTCTTCTTCTGTTGCAAGTTTGGTTCGCAAGTCAGAAACCTCATTGATATATTTTGATGTATATGGCTGGAAATAACAAATTATGCTGTTAGTATACATACTGAAAAAATTAAATGCAAAAAAAATTATGAAAAAATTAGAGTAAAGAAATGGTTCATACTCCAGCTTTTCATTACAGTACAGCAGAACTAGTGTGTTGCCAAAGGCTTCACCACATGACCAAAAGAAGAGGACAGATGGGGTGCTGCCTACTAAATGAGAAGGAATGATAGTAATGCTTCTTGGCTCTTTCCCCTGTCCCATCCCACATCGAGGGTCACGAGTTTCCTCAGTGCCAACAAGTCACAACAACGCTGCATTAGTAGTGTTTACTTCTCTTGAATAAACCAGTTTAAGCTATGTCATTCTAAATAAAGAAACAATACATGAAAGACTTTGCACAATATATGTAATAACATATTGTGCAAATTCACATCATGTGTGTGAAACAGCGCTGCTAACCACCTTCACCACTGACCAAATATTCAATACAGAGTTTATTAAAGTTAAAATAAAAAATACAATGATCACACCGCTTACCATGCACCAAGTGACTGTATCACCTTATGTATCATAATACTGTACTTCTTTATGTACACGGCAATTTCCAGGCCAAGAGCACATCATTCATAATGAAATTGGTTGGAAAACAAAACAGAAGAAATAGAGAGTTAACCAATGAAAATGTAATAAATCCAAGTAATTACACCAACTACCAAACAAAAAGTGATTGTATCACTGTGAATAAAGTGATTGTATCACTGTGAATAAAGTGATTGTATCACTGTGAATAAAGTGATTGTATCATGGGTGTAGTGCAATTTCCACTGCATCTATACATCTAAAACTAATTTAACATAAAAAATATTAAGGGTTTATTAATGTGGGAAACACCAACATTTGTTAAATTACACAAGCAGTGAGGGACTGAGGCTGCCGTCTCAATATGGTTCTTCCCTTTCTGACAACCAGCGAGTATAACTATATTAACTCCATTTTAAATAAAGACAAAATTAAAGAACATTATCAATAAAAAGCAAAATTAAAACAAAATTACCAATAAAAAATTAAATTACAGAAATACATATTTATTAATGTCTGAAAGTAGGAATAACAAGTTACATGTATCGGTAACTGGCCTTTAAGCAGAACAATAATGTTAGCTTTTTAAGTATAGAACCAGTTTTATACAATTTTTGGGAAAAATACATTTTTTCTCTGGTCGATGCATTATTTAGTTCTCTTTTTGATGCATACAAGCACTTTGTCTTTGCCTGTGTACTACAGTCAATTCATTTTCTTAAATATGACACCAAGAAAAACAATTAAGAGGGGGTGGCAGTCTTGCTTCCTGTGGATGGTTAGGTAAGCACAGTACAGTATTATACAATATTATACTATATACGGTGTACAAATTTTGTCAGTCTACTAAGCAAGTTTATTTTTTTTTAGTACAGCTGACTACTGTTATACAGTATATTGCATACTGAAGCACAACAAGAGAATTACTGTACACCTGTTTTGTTCATTTTGAATGATTTGTTTTATCTGAAAGCCATTATTTTAGCAGTTCCCCAAAAAACCTGTGGACCTTTTCACTCTACCTATTCCCCTCTCCTAATTCTCGGCTTGTTACAGACAACAGTTACCTGTAATATGGAGTCGAGTGGCACGGCATGAGAAAAAGAATATCTGATTTGCTGCGAACCTTCGTATCATTTTGTAGAATGGTCATTACATCCAGTGAGCCTCTCTGATGGACCAAACCCAAGTACAATACAGCTATGAGATTGGGTATTGCCAGGAAAAAGATGGTAGCAACACTTCTGAAAATAAAATAAATGTTAATAAGCACTAGATAAATCATAAATCTGTAAATTACTGTATTAATAACTACTGTACCCTGGTGAGGATTCATATTCAGGACCACTGGATTGCCAGCCTTATACCCAATTACAACCTCTACAAGTGTGAAACATGCTGTCAGTACAAAAAAAAATCCATTGAACATCTCATTATAAAACTCTTTACCATGCTACCTCACTCTCTTATATTATTTAGAACTTGTATTTATTATGCCAAAAGATTATCCAAAATAATGCTTACTGAAAGTGATAGGAACTTAACTAATTTGGTACAGACAGTATAGTATTCTGCATTACCTGTATTTTGAAGACTGATCTTTTCTCTTGGAATATGAAGATAGTGTGAAAGCAACAAAGTCACCAGCTATACAGAAGCACAGAGGCACAACTGGGAGGAGGAATCTGAACTCCTTGTGACCTAAGCAGCTGCAATTAGTGATAAACACATTGTAAAAAGTACAAATAACAGAACTTAAAGATTTTTTACATAAATAAGAAAAGGAATATTTAAAGAACATAATTGACAACTTCAGTAGTCTGAATTTTGGAGAATACACTGTAATGTAATTTTAATTACAAAGAAATTCATCTCTTACAGCTGTGCTAGACTGCCAATTGTCCAGTTTATATTACATTTATAATTTTGATTAAATATGTAAATTTAAATACTGTATTCAAATTCCACATAAGAAGCTACTTTACAGCAAATGGATGAACATTTAAGTAAATGAATGGCAGCAAGGACCAATATTTCTTTCATTCTCATCCAATTATTTGATATCCATTTCTGTAAATGCTGTAAATCAATATTTAAATTCATGACCTAATTCTGCATTTATTGCACTGTCCTGTGGCATGACCCCCCCCCATCAGTAAAGACCTCTCCCACACAGCAGGGTCATTGTCTTGGGTTGAGACTTGCTAGTGCTGATGCCTTGGTTCTGAGGCTGTGCAGCAGCTGCAAGCAACTGTCACAATACTGGACACCAGTGCATAACAAAACATCCATAATGACACCACTTCACTAATTACATGACTGAACAATCCCACTAGTGCAATTTGCAATTTGATAATATAATACAGTATTTTAAATATCCAAAATGACTGATTTATGGACCCTCTTGATGCATAAGATTATCCACTGCATCCAAGCATCCGGTATGTTTGCAATTTTTGTGTGGGGCACAGTTGTCTGCACATACATTACAGTATTTTGGTGCCAAAATCCCACGGAAGAAGTATATTATTAATGTGAAAATAACATTTTACCGTCATCATGTTTACAGAATTACATTATCTCATTTATGCAGGAATCTAATCTGTTTCATTGGACGTTATGGCGTGTGGCTCGTAATCCTTCTGATGCATCTATTTTCTATTGAACAAGATTCCATTTGAGCAAGATATTACTTTAGATGAATTAATTAGAAGTACTACATTAATGTGACAGTCAGATACGGCTATGTAAGTAACAATACCTACCTATAAATTGCAACCGACCATAAACAGACAGAAAGTAATTTCTTGTGTCTAGCTGGATGGGTCATGGCAGCCAGCACAAAAGGGAGGAGATGTGTGGCTAGTGTAGCTGGCAGACCTTGGGTCAGATACCAGTGCCATGGAAGAACACCATAATGAGATGCTAAACCTGATATGACATTGAAGTGAGCAAACCTCCATGGTACAATGACTAGTTTGCCGTAATACCATGTGTCCAATCCAACACTCAGAACAAGCACACCAACCCTGAAAATGTGCAACATATTAGTAATCAAATCATTATCCCATTTCCCACTTTTATGGATGGAGAGGAAGCCCACTGTACGGGAAAGTAAATGTTTCTAAGAATAATACTGGCATTTACCTTTACTGAATTCTGACATTTGCCTGCATTCCAATCAAGAGACTAGGGAAGGGAACTATCAAGAGAAAGTGCCAAGCCATTGTTACTATATAGTACTGTATCTGGAAGGGATCAAGATAAGGATTTGCAATGGGATGGGATTGGTGGGGGCAAGGAATGGTGCCCAACCACTTGGACAGTCAGGGATTGAACACTGACCTACATGAAGCAAGAACATCACTCCACCGTACAGCCAAAGTGGTTGGGTTGGACTAGTCAGAAGAAATGTGACTATGCTTAAAGCAGGGGTACCAAGTATTGTACAAGTGCTACCACAAATGGAAGTGGAGGATAGTTACCAGGTGGTCCATTCAGTAGTTATTGGGAGTACTTTGTGGTAGTCCCTGTGATGGCAAGTAGTGTTTGAAAGGGCTCTGAATAAATTGGAATGAATGAACTGGAGGTAATTCTCACCTGAATGGGTATTCTCCTGCATCTCCCTAGCACCAGTATTATAAGGAATATCTGAAAAGATTTCTATTGCACTGGTCAGGAATGTTAACATGGCCCCATAATGGAGCCATGTTATGAAATGTGGAATCTGAGAAAATAGACCACACACAATTTACAAATTATGTGGAATCAAATTGGTTGATTTTCACATAAATTATGTGGAAATCAACCAAAAATACTAACAGGAATCAACCAAATTGACAAAGAGGAAATCCTGACACCAACAATATCATGCACAAGAGGACACTGATTCAAGCTATGGAAACAAAGGTGCCAAATAAACATGATAAAGTTTTCTCTTGCAAACAGTGATAGACGGTGGGAACAAGCTAAGTGAGAAGATGGTGGAGACTAAAACCGTCAGTAGTTTCAAAGCGTTATACAACAAAGAGTACTGGGAAGATGGGACACCACGAGTGTAGCTCTCATCCTGTAACTATACAGTACTTAGGTAATTACACACACATATAGATATATGTACTTTTTTTTTAAGTGAAAAATAATATAAGATTTTATAAATAGATTTATCAAATCAAGAATTTAATATTAAAGGATGAAAAGCTAATTTGCATTTCAACAACAATCAGCCCTCAACAACAAATGTTCAAGAATTGTTTAATATATTTTAAAAACTAATTAGACTATGATTTCCTCTTTCCTATTTTATTGAAAAACTCAAATCTAAACAATATTAAAATAACTTGTTATATAAATTATATCAAAATGATGAAAGAAATAAAAAAATGTTGGAAAACTATCTTCTTCAGGTTATCTTGAGATGATTTCGGGGCTTAGCGTCCCCGCGCTAATATAATATAACTACTGTATAATGATACTTTGCACATGCTAAGACCTAAATGATAATACTCACATGGTTATAAGGTACTTAAACAAGAGGAGAACTTTAGTATGTGTTATCCATAAGTGGTGCAGACAGAGAGGAACGAAGGGTATTGCTGCTGTCGGTCGTATGACACATGCTGCACCAACAAGCCACAAGTATCCACTATCACAGCATTCTGGTGATTAACCAAACCATCTTGAATCTTTTAAATATTGAAACTTTAGCAATTCTAAATAAATTAAATAGTTTTTATTAGGAATCAGACAAGTACTATAGACTAATAATAGTGTACTGTACAGTATTTAGAAATTGGAAATCAGTATAAGAATTCAGTGTGTTTTAAGATACTGAGACCATAAAAATTAATCAACAGTTTGAATATCAATAATAGGATACTAATTTATGAAAATTATAACATTTCTAACTTAAATCAAAGGGATTATACAAACATTATTGCAGGTAATTTGGTTGTTAACTTGTTTTGAAAACTAAATATCCATCAACAGTATATCCATTGTTGCCTCATACTATCTGGGTCCATTTCCCTTGAAAGGTGGTCTTATGTAAAGGTCAATTTCCCACATGACCTTCCACTTTCTTGAGGGTCATTGCCCCACAAGATCTTATGTAAGATCTTACATAAGGTCATGGTGTCCCATAGGTAGGGACAAGAAGCCCATTAGGTTTACTAATGTCCTCCTATGCCAGCAATTGACCTTTCACAGGATGTAATCCATAACAGTTGCCTAACTCCCAGGTACCTATTAACTGCTAGATGAACAGAGGCAGTAGGTGAAAGAAAATGTGCCTAACCATTTCTGCCTCCACCCAGAAATATTCATAAAATATTTATCACTACAGTGGATGTCACTAAATACAGCAATAGCCTTCACTGGAAGATAAACCACCTCTGTATTCTCCTCTTCCACAAAATTTCATGGGTGACTGAAGACAGATCTACATGGTGAATATTGTATTCTATTACAGGTTTTAGGGATATTTTCAACCATCGGGTCCATTACATAAGGATATCTGTGTTCAGAAACTACCTTTAAGTGTTTTCCATGGGTACTGGCAGAAGGCAACAGACAGTAGAATCATTTCTGCACAAGAAGTCAAAGTTCGTGGTGCACAGTATTCCAGGAACCAGGAAGAAACCAAGCAGATGGCAGTCCAGTGAGCAGAGGCCTTACCATACAGCATTCTGGATAACTTCCATATATGATAATCCCCCACAGCAAAGGCCAAGGCATGAAATACCCTTGGAACATGAATCTGAAAACAAGTACATATATAAATAAACTTATCTTGCAGCATGTCATGGTGTAAAGCTGGGATAATACCATTTATGATACCAACTGATAACGTAACATTAATAATGCAGTATAAACTACATATTTGCTGATACTGCATTTCACATGCAGAAACTGAAATATCAATTTAGGATAATTCTTTGAATGAGAATCATATCAGAAACACCAATGTTAAATATTAACCAAAAGACAGTAACTGTGATCAAACACAAGGTCTTCGCAGTATAATACATGACAAATTAAACTTTGCTTCTAGTGTCAGAAAAGGGAAAAAAATGAAAAATACACAATAAAATTAATCTATGATGGAACAAAAAATACAATATCTAGAATGTTTTTCTAATGAAAATAATAACATAACTTTGTACCATGAAAAAAAAACAAAATCTACACTTGCATGGAACTGTATTGGAACTAATGGCCATAATTAAATATCATCAACATAAAACAAACTTACCAACAGAAACTGATGCTCCAAGCCCAGCAGGGTTAAAACTTTATAAAGACTTGCCAAAGCACCTGGATAGAGGACACTTCTAATTCCTTCTTGCCATTCCCATGTTTGATATCCATATCTGTCACAGACATGAAAACGAACATTTTGATAAAGGTAATTTATGAGTACTGTATATATATGTAATAGTTTTATAAAAACAAAGAAATATGCCAGTAGTGTATACTGTATTATATTTCTTGAAAGAAATAACAGTATTGTGCAGAAACTGCTCCCATCTCACAAACACTGAATCAGCTTAGAAGATAAGAATTCATAAGAAAATATGCATAAGATAAATATGATATAGCCCTCACAAATACGAGGTACATAGCAGGAAACTAAAATGAGTACAAATAGTACTCATTCCTCTTAAAAGAGGAATGCTACCAGTGATTTATATTTAGACTTTTGAACCAAGACTTACCCAAAGACTAAGAGATGTGCAATTTCTGTAGCCTGCCAGAACTCATCAGCTACGAACCAAGTCTGTATGATGAAGACGCTTAACAGTCTCACAAAAATGAACAACCACAGTGGATTCCCGGCCATATTTCAGTCTGAAAATGCAACTTTAGTAATTACAAAGTTTAGAAAATAAACTTTAGGTTGTACAGTATTAGAATAAATGTAATCACAGTAAGGGGTTGTACACAATGCACAGTAAGGGTTACCTGTTAGCAGCAAAAAGTTCCCCTAATACACAGTGCAGTTACTGGAGTATCAAATTTATGCAAATTAATTTTAGTTACATTTATTGATAGAGTTAAAGACGTGGCTGTCTTTTAATTCTTTATTCAACACCTCCATTGCCTAACACCTCTACAACTATTATTATATAGGAAATCTTTACCATGACATACAGTGTGATAAAAATAGAATTACTAAAAAACTACACAATGACAGCACCCTTGAGAACTATTTACCTTAAATATAAAAATATACATAAATATGTTCCTTGGCCTATACATAGACAAGAGACAACTTCAGCACCACATACAACACATTACAAAGACACTCTCAAAAACGGTCATATACTTTCTAAAATCTGATATTATGCTCCTTACTCTGCTCTCCCCGAGGATTGCAATAAAATATTATTATTATTATTATTATTATTATTATTATTATTATTATTATTAACTATTATAAAAAAGTAAATACCTTCATAGTGTTGTTGATGTTGACTAGAGCCGGATTACGTAATGGACAACATCTGACGGGTCAGTGCAATGGAAACTAGACATGAGACATTTTTTTTTACCATTTCAAACAAACAATTATACGTTTTATTTATATATATATATATAATTGTTCAATATTAAAAACCACAATATAATGCTACTAACAGTTAAAATCTTCTACTTAATAGGCATATAGTAATTAAATGACGTATATAATCCGGGTTGGCTAAGAACGCCGCCCGCCGGGGTAAACACTACACAGCTCAATGCCCACAAACATGATTGAACGCACGAAACATAAGACTGAAACCAGTTTTTGGATACACTCTTATTACATTTATTATGTGATATCATTATATACAAGTATAGCTAAGTATTAAAGGTAAGCGCCTAATATGTAATATTCATTAATAAAAACGAGGTCAGAAGTCTGAACCCTTCTGTAAAAGAATTTTGGGCGCTCATGTACTTGTGCGCTAGCCGGCGTTCACAGCTGTTGTTTCCTACAATAAATAGAATTAATCAAATAAATAATAAATAAATAAATGTTTATTCAGGTAAGGTACATACATACAAGAGATTTTACACAAATTGATCGATTTATAGATAGAGCTAGTACATACAGTGCCTAAAGCCACTATTACGCAAAGCGTTTCGGGCAGGAAAAACATTAATTTATTTATTTATTTATTTATGCATATAGAAGAATGTACATAAGGAATGTGAGGATACAAATATGGTAATTACAGTCTTGTAAAGCCACTAGCACGCGCAGCGTTTCGGGCAGAATGACTAAAACTAATGGTTTAATGACTAAAACTTAATACTAATTGAGTATAAGGAATAAAATGTGTTAAGAACAAATAAAAATAAAGATAAAAAAGGGGGGAACATGGCTGAAAAAGCAGCACAAATACAATTAGGTCGACAAACAGCGTTGTTTAAAAAAACAGACATGGGTTGACAATAGAGGGGTAATAAAACGTTATTACCTCTCTTTATTATTATTAGATTAGTTATTATTATTAGATTCAAATAAAACGTTATTTGTTTATTTATTTATTTATAGAAGAAGATACATTTGGATGAGAGTACATAACATCGGTATTCTTACATTCTTGTAAAGCCACTACCATGCATTGCTTTTCGGGCAGAGCCTTAAGGACCAGCCCGAAACGCTATGCGTGCTATAGTGGCTGTAAAAGTATGTAACAACTCTTTTATATATAAATAAATAAATAAAATAATAATGTCTTAGAAGAGGAAAACAGCAGCGTACACAAACCAGCGCATAAGCAAATACGAAAGGGTTCGTATAAACAAACTAGTTTATGACCAATTTTCGTGTACTAAACCGCTGGTTGTTGTTGTTGTTATAGATTCAGCTACTCGGAACAAGATCCAAGTAGCACGGGCTATGGTGAGCCCGTAGCTTACCTGGCACAGGAACGGAACAAGTAGCACAGGCTACAGTGAGCCCGTAGTGGCCTGACCTGCCACAAGAGCGGTGCTGTTGGAAAAAATCCGCCGGTATCCAAGACCGGTTATGTACGATTCGACCAGCCAGCCAGCCCCTCTCCACCAGCTCCCCCATCACCCTCCATCACTCTCCCTCACCCCCACCACCATCAGCTGGACGGGGAGGACCACTGCCGGGACGCCGCCGCCACTGACCACCATGACCTCCCAGGACACCAACACTAATGGCAACGGCAACACCCTCAAGTTATACTACTGGTACACCTCCTTCTACTCCCAGCGGGTGAGCAGGGACGGTGGCCACGCTACAGGTGGCTGGCTCCCAGCATACACTACACTATGTACTCCACTTGTTATGTTTAATTGCTTATGGCAATGAAATTGTCATTTATGGCGTATATCTTTTTTTTCTGATAGGTGTGAGACATGTAGAGGCGTGTTTAGTGAGCGAGTTTGTTGTGGAGCAGGTAGCCTTCCTGTGGGGGAGGGCAGACGGGTTATGGGAATTATAATGATGAGTTATTTATAGTATATTAACTCGAAGTTGGTGTTTGGGTCATAAATTGGTGATAGAGAAGCCCTGGTGGCTATATATAAGGAAATGACAGTGATCATCTAACCCACTACAGTCTTTGTATTACTGTCCCAAAATGGTAAGTAGTTCAGTAGCCAAAATAGATCCCACAAAGCAAGACCATAACAGTACCAAGAAATTTAATTACTCGTGTAGGAGGTAGTACATGCTGGTTTTGGAACATTATCAGGATAAAGTGCCAGGTCACTTCATAAGACTGGGGCATTCAAAGTTTCTCAATTCACTGTTTTTGTTACTGTGAGGCAGAGGTTTTGGCAGTTATTTTGACACAGACAACTTCATGAATGGTGCGACACTGGGAGATCAGCACTCAAGTTGGATGCAGAAAAATTATATTTATATGCACTGGTATGCTTGGTTTCAGAATGGCAATTTAAGTTAGATTTCTTAAGCACTTGTTAGACTTTCTTTGCAAATTAAGCATCTGCTTTTCCATCCACATTGGTAAAAAATATTTAGAGGTCAAAACACTAAAAAGTTTTTGCCAAAATCAGGTGCGCAGTGCAGTGGTCAATGAACAAAAATTGCACCTGAGAACACTTGGTGATCATATAATGCTAAGGTGGACAAGATAATATGAAAATTAATACAAAAATACACTGTAAGCAATGAATACAAAGCATAAAGATATACTAGTGTACTGTACCAAAGACAGCTACCATACCACCACAGCATCAGACACACGGCGTTGGCTGAAGGCAGACTGCAGGTGAGAGACCAAGGTGTTCCAAGAGCACCGAGAAAGAGACTGCCTCTCCATGGAGGTGGCGCCCTTTATATAGTCTGGCGGTGATGACAACGCAAGGGGGACATCTGGTCAACTGGCAAACTGCTCGTTTGTGGCTGTGCCTTTGTGTTGAGCTGCACCACTGCCAGTTGGAGGCAGCTAACTGTTTGTTTGTGAAGGCAAACTACCAGTTAGCAGAGGCGCCCGGCTTGCCTCCGAATCATACCTGGCCGTGGGGGGGGGGGGGGGGGGTATGATAAGGACTGATGACTCATCTGGGCTAATGTAGACGTAGACTTCCAGTGCAGAGGCATTGAAGGTGAGGGGGGAAAAGGCAGTTCCACTGCTATGCAGGGGATTCACGTGACAATATCATGCAATGGGTCCCAAGAAAGTCAGTGGTAAACTTCAATCCAAGAAAATAGTTGTGAGGATGACAGTAGAGGAAAAACAAAGAGATAATAATAATAATAATAATAATTTTTATTTAGGTAAAGGTACATACATAAAGAGATTTTACAAAGTTTGTTGGCTTTATAGATAGAGCTAGTACATACAATGCCTAAAGCCACTATTACGCAAAGCGTTTCGGGCAGAATCGTAAGGCAGATCGTAAGGCAGAATTTCGGCAGATCATTCGTAAACATGAAACTGATATGCGGGTTGTTATGTCCCTTCCTCATTAATTAAGAAAATGTGTGCAGTATGGGAAGAATTGCAAAGTTTTGCTGAAAAGTGTCACCCAGATAAAGCTGTAACAGGCCATTGTATTAACCTTTTTAATGGCAATGTGATGTCTCACTACAGACAGGTGTTAAAACATAGGGAAAAACAAGTGTCAATAGACAGGCTTTTAGCAAGACAAACAAGCAGTGAGCCACAACCAGGTCCTAGTGGTATGCCTGCAAAATGTAGGAGAAAGTACCCCAGAAAAGTCCTCACTGCCTGATGTTATAATGGAAGGGGGACTCCCTTCCAAACACTAACACCTCTCCTCCTCCCTCCTCCCCCTTCCCTCCTCACTGACTTCCTTATCCCAACAAGAGTGCTCAATAAAGGTAAGATATACATACTGTATTGTAGTACAAAAAGAGCGTTTGAGCAAGTTCAGTAATGACCTTTTTTTAAATTTTTCCATGATGGTTCCATGCCATGATCCCCTATCAGCTCCCTCTATGAGATGTTTTGCAATTTCTCTCTCATTCCCTGATAGTTTCCTCGATGGTAATCTAAGTCATCATCCTGTACCTTTACGAGATTTTCTGTAATTGTATTCCATCTTAGAAAATTGTGATCACACGAATACCAGCGATTTATCACCGATCACCATCGATTTATGATGCCATCCATATAACTATTAAACAATTGTGTTCCCATTTTGGTCAATTATGGTTAAATATCATTGCTTGATTCTTATAGGCAATAATTTTATAAATGCTTATATTCCCGTTTACTCTTACAGGTTCTGATGGCTCTATATGAGAAACGTGTGCCTTTTAAAACACAAATAGTGTCATTATTGGCTGAGGAGCAGTATGAGCCATGGTTTTTAAAACTGAACCCACGTGCTGAAGTTCCAGTACTCACAGATGGCGTTAAGGTCATACCCGACTCAATCCGTATCATTGAATATTTGGAAGACAACTTTTCTAATGGTATGTACATTTGATGTATTCTGTCAGTTTAGCAATTATGGCTCTATTGTAAGAGAATTTGGACCTCCTGTAAAACCATTAGCTTTTGGTTAATGTAAGTTACATTTTTTATTGTAGGTCATTAATAAGATATTGATTATTTAAAAGCCTAATGAAATACTTTAGAATAAGCTAATTCATTGCATTGTTTTATAGTTGTGTTCCAGGGGTACTGGTACCCCTGGTTTATATAAACTGCAGTATTGAATTGGATTACAGTATTTCCATTTGTTATTAAATAATATGGAAGAGAACTTCTGTGTAGAGTAGCCTACTATACTTGTAAATAAGCCCAAAGAAAGCCTGTTGTAAATAAAATGCAGTACTGTACAGCATAGAGAATAAATGGGGAAAAAATGCTAAATTTTAGATTTGTTAATTTTCTTCCTTCAGATTGATTAGTCCTCCTCCTCCCAGTTGATTAGCTGTCCTTCTGATTGATTATCCCTACTCCTGACTGATTATCCCTAATCCAGTTTGAATATCCCTACTCCTCCCAATTGATTAGCCCCACTCTGCCCGATTGATTAGCTCCACTCCTACTGATTGATTAGCCCTCCTCCTCTCGATTGATTACCCCCCCTCCTCTCGATTGATTACCCCTCCCCCTCCTCATGATTTATTAACCCTCATCCTCCCTATTGATTAGCCCTCCTCCCACTGACTGATTAGCCCTCTTCCCACTGATTAATTTGCCCTCCTATTGATTGATTTGCCCTCCCACTAATTGATTAGTCCCCCTCCTGCTAATTGATTAGTTTTCCCATTGATTGATTAGTCCCACCTAGCCTGCCTCCTGTTTATTGGTTAACTTGCTTCGCACTAAACAGAATACAAAGAGGCAAATACAAAATTATGCAGGCATGTTCTTACTTATCTCTCATTATTGTGGCCAAAAATTAATACTAGGCATTGTATTTGTGAATTAGGCCCCCGCATCGTAGGTAAGTTTTGCTCACTCAGTGCTGGTAGTGCATGGCAGCCATCACAGAGTTTTAAAATAATTCATATACGAAATTAGATGTAATCTGTAAAAATTAAAAATTTCAGCCGATACATTAACTTGAGGAAATGAGTGCAGATGCAGCATAATAAATTACCAGCCAGTATTGTTATGTTACACAGGGCAGTTTGGGCAGCTGACTCCAAAGGAAAAAGGCAGCGAGGAAAGCAAAAATATCCAGAGATTTCGAGACCTTCTAGAGACTCTTCCTATTCCTGCTTTAACGTTCGGAACAGCCATTCATCCAGAACTAGTGGATAACCCCAAACCACCATTCACTCCACTCCTCCTTAAAAGAATGAAAGGTATATAAGTACAAATTATGTTACTGTGTATTTTCTTATTGATATTATAACAATGACAACCATAATATTAACTAGAACATGCACATCATTGGCCCAAGTACATTGCTTCTCACCAGGTGTGCAGCCCTATCTTGACATTTGTTAACAACCTTATATAAGACTGTATCACATGGGAGAGGAAGCCCTTCAGGAATCAGAGAGAGAAAAAAGACTTGGTGGATGCAAGGGCTGATTTGCCTAATAGGCCGAGTGATTTTTCGTTTTTTTCAAAAAATGGTTTCTAATTGGTTTATTTGAATTATTATTATTATATTAAATTAGGAACATAAATAATTTACTTATGTTAGTTTAGGTTAGGTTAAGATGTGTTAGGTAGGTTCGGTAGGGTTGGTTAGGTTCTGTCATAGATTTACATTAGTTTTAACTCAAATTAAACAAAGTGATCTTATACATAATGAAATGGATAGATTTATCATTTCATAAGAAAAAATGTAGAAAAATATATCAATTCAGGACAAATTTGGTTCATTAGGCAAATTGGGCTTTGCATAGTAGGCCGAGTATTGCATTCTGGTACTCTGGACCACTAGTTGTCCGGTACTGATACCACGCCACAGTTGATTGCCTAAAGTTTGGGAAGGTTGTTATAAGAGCTGTGCAAGCACTTGGCAACACTTGTGATGCATATTGGCCACAGTTATTTCAGCAGTTCTTGAACATGCTGGGGCTATACTGAGCATACATTTAAAACAACTTGAAAAGTAAATAAGTTTTCTTCTTAAATGCTGGAAGCTTTGTGGTTTAAGCTTGTTTGTATAAACAATTAATGTCCCATAATATTTGTCATTAACATATTCAGTATTGCAGAAAGTGTGTCTGTATTAGAGTGAAATGGAAAAGGGATAGTGTAATGTAGTGTTACTAGTGTAGGTATCCATCGACACATTAGTCATCTCATTATTTAATAATTCATCAAGTTGTTTTTGTGTGTTTTGCAGTCATGCACATCCAAATAATATGCCATGGTTCAATTTCTTGATTCCCAGAAACCGCTAAGACTCGCCATGTTATTATAAGAGAACATGCAGAAAAGACTCCAGAATTCCAAGAAGCCCTCATGGAGAAGGCAGCTGCAGCAGAGCATGGCTCACTTAACCTAAACAAAACCAGAGAAGAAATGGATGAGGTGTTACAGGAGTTTGACTCGGTTCTACAGAAAGTGGAAGATGAACTGTCATCCCATACTGAAGGTAAAGAAATATAATAGTGGGGGATTAATGGCATTTTTACTGGCATAGGGATTCAGTACAGTTAAAAGTTTCTTCTTTCTAAACACACAAACTTCTGGATATAGTTTTGGTAACAGGCTGGTGGCCAAGACATTGACTTAAACACCTTGTAGTAATGACGGTTTGAAATTATTGAATGGTATTACATAATTTCAAATACACGTAATATAACTTTTAATTGTCCTAATAAAAATTACAGTATACAAAATTTGTTTAATGAAAGATTTTTTTTATTCATATATTGCCATGTTAAACCCCAAGACATGTTCCTGCCTTAAAATGTTCCACATTTTAATAACTTTTAAACAGGAGAAATAAATATTATAACTTTATATTAAAGTAATAAAACATAAAATGTGTGTAGGTATAAGGATATATGAGTGGGAGGTACTATATGAGTAGAATGTCTCCGTCTGACTGTCTTAACAGTCTCCGTGGTGTAGTGGTAAGACACTCGCCTGGCGTTCCGCGAGCGCTATGTCATGGGTTCGTATCCTGGCCGGGGAGGATTTACTGGGCGCAATTCCTTAACTGTAGCCTCTGTTTAACGCAACAGTAAAATGTGTACTTGGATGAAAAAACGATTCTTCGCGGCAGGGGATCGTATTCCAGGGACCTGCCCGAAACGCTACGCGTACTAGTGGCTGTACAGGAATGTAACAACACTTGTATATATCTCAAAAAAAAAAAAAAAAATGTTGGTGCATCATCTGCCAGTCACTGCGCCTGCCTCCCTTTCACCCACTCCAGCCCAGGACTAGCAGGGCAGGCAGGCCAGGCAGGCATTCCAGACAGCCATAATTGGCAGAACAGGTTGGCATGGCTGGCAGTGCTGGTGTCCTGTGCCAGTCACCTTCAGCCTAGGTAAATCTTGCAGTGACTGCTAAAGAATGATAACTTAGTAATTCACTGCTAACTGTAAACCGACATGCAAAAAATTAGAGAACTCGCTAAGAATTATAAACACACATGTGAATGTTATATTTATAGTATGCATTGACATTGCATAGAAATTTTCAATGGATGAATATGCTGCTGAATTTGAATCTGGCTTTCTTTCCTCCTAACAATCTGACAATTGAGAAAGAATGGGTTAAATTTCATCGAGGTGTACCATCTTGTGGTTCAGGTTCTTGAACCTGATGATGGGAGGGGCAGGTAGCTGAAGGAGCACACCACAAGTTTGTTTGGGCACCGTAAGGATTTCAGAGTTGCCAACGATGTAAATTCTCTGTGTGTGACTTTTGAGGTTGCAACTGTAAAGGATCTCTTCAGTTGGAAACTCTCCAGAAGCCTTAGTACCAGTATGGCCCTGAAGAGACATTTGAGAAGTTCTCACTGGCACTGGTGCCCTACCTCACTACATGATTCGCTCCCCCATGAACAGTGGAATTGTGTTTTAGGGACAACCAAGTGGAATTGCTCAGATTGGATGTTTGTGACCATAGTCCACATGTGTATTCTCTGCTCACATTTGTATTCTGAAAAAAGACTCTGAAGCTTTGCATTCTCAACGTTTGTCATTGCATTATTCCTTTGAGTGATAGTGATGTGCTAAAATTTAAGACATGAAAATGTGGGTTGCCTTATAGAGTAGATGCAAATTAAAACTGAATATGTAGGTTACAATCGGAAAAATAGAAATTTGAAAGAGCAGCTACAGGCAATATTTCTTAAAAAGTTAAATTTCTTGTATAGTGGACCACAAAATCATATTTACCTGAATTTAATCGAGGGCCACTAATACTAGTGGCCTTGATGAGGACAGGAAGCCGGCAGCTTGCCGAAGGTCCCCCCCCCCCATTTGCCTTGATCTTATCCATCTGTATTTTAAACCCCAGTAGAGTTTTGGCATTTACAGCTTCAGTGGGTAGGCAGTTCCATGGGTTTACAACCCTAAGGTGAAAAAGCATCTGTTTTCTTTCCTTCATTGTGGTTTGTTGAGCTTGAACCCATTGCTCCTCGTTTGTGTTACATCTGACCTTTTGAAGAAATTGTCCAGATCAGTATCCTCCAAACTGTTCAGTATTTTAAAGATTGCGATGAGATCTGCCCTGTCATGCCTGGTTTGCAGTGTTGTTAGCCCAGTGGCCCTCAACCATTCCTGATACTTGAAATGACCATGCTCTGGTATGATTTTTGTTGTCCGGTGTTGCACCTTCTTCAGGGCAGCTATGTCTTTCTGAAAATGAGGTCTCCATGCCTGGATGCATTGATCCAGGTGGGGGCACACCAGAGACTTGTACAATTGAGCGACTACTTTCTTTTTCTTGAAGGTAAAGGTACGCTTAATTATTCCCAGGGTTTTATTTCCTTTTTTTACTTCCGCTCTCCCACTTGTTGTGCAACATTTAGTGAATGGTGGATTCTGACTCCAAGGTCCTTTTCCTCCTCTATCTGTTATAAGGTAGATAAGGTAGTGCCGTCTTTTTGGCAGTTGTGATGTGGATTGTTGTGCCCCACATGCAAGGTATGTATTTATTGACATTAAAAAGCATTTACCTGTTTCTGTAGATCAGTTCCTTTGTAAGGTCTCATTATTTTATTATTGAGTTCATACCCATCCCTTGGCAGTGATGGAATAATTTTCCATCACTAACATATACACTTGTAAGTTGTGTGAGCTAAGAGAGTACAACATATGGACTACCTGAAGTAGTTAAAATTGGGATACATAGTCAAAATAGAGGGTAATACAAAAACTGTAATATTTTATTAAATATTGGGTCATTTCTTGAACATTATTAGTGAAGTTGTTCAAGTTCTTGGATAAAAGTGGTTGTAAATTTTTGCTTGTTGTTTCATGCATATTTATATTCATGTTTCAGGTAAATCATCTTGGTGGTTGTGTGGAGAGTTGTTTAGCATTGCAGATATAGACTTGGCTATTCTTCTAAATCGCCTTAATTGTTTGGGCTATGAACGAAGATTTTGGGCTGAAGAAAAGCGTCCTCTCCTGGAGGCTTACTGGTATAAAATACAGAAGAGAGATTCATTTAAGGTAAGGTAGCTTATTCCTTTATTTTCATTCCTAGTTTATATTTCAAATTAAAACTTCTGATACTGGGTACATCTTTTATTTTTTAAATTAAAATAAAGTAATTGAACTATATAAGTAAGCTACCATTGCATGTTGAATTTTGGGAGTGCATAATTGTTTATTAAGACTATACATTATGTTGCAGAGAGCTACATACTTCTCAGCAAATGCAATGCGTTTGACTAAACTCCGCGGAACCCTGAAGCAAAGTAAAACTTTACTAGCATCATTAACAGCAGCAATGGCCATAGCAGTTATATCTTACATAGTTTATCGAAGGGTATTGAAATCATAGGAGAGAATATTACATTTATTTTTATAGTAGAATGAGTGTGTAGGCAGATACAATTTGTAGTATTTAGTTGCATTGTGGTTGTATTGGGGTTGAATGGTTTAGAGCTGTTTTTAATAGGACTCAATATTGGAAAATATTTGAAATATTTATGAAAGTAGATTTGAAAATGTGTGAGAGATGTGATGTAGAGGTGCAAGATTCTCTTTTAGTGTAGTCATGCTGTTAAGGATAAAACAGCATTTTATCAATGGTACTTAATTCTGGATCAATTTGCCTGAAATTGGATTACACACATACATAATGCAGTAATATAACAATCCTTGTACAAAATACTTTGGTTAAGCATCTTGGGTAAAGTAGTGATACCATTACAATGTCAGTGATATACATTCCTCGTTAGAGGCAGTGCTAAGTGTTAAGGGAGGAAGGATAACATTAGTGTGAGCTATCTTTGACTGGTTCACTTAATCTTGGTGACTGAACTGAGACCAATTACAAATACAAAAGCTCCAATTTTCTTAAGTGATGCTTTCCAGTACAGTACATGGAATTTATATTTGAATTATATTTTTAATTTTGTTGGTATAAATGAATGAAGAGTACTCAGGACTGAAATGTACTTTCTGAATTAATTTTATGGACGTGAGATGATTTCATCTGAAGAAATAGGTTGTGTTTGTATGACTAATAAATATTTGGAAAGTATCTTCCTACCTCATGTTAATTGAAGTTCTCTTCAAACTTTCACAAACTTATTGCATATCCACTCACTAATTGTAATTAAATTTTGTCATATGTACTGTACAGTGGAACCTCGACTTACGAATCCGTAGGAGTAAAATACTTACGAATTTTTTGAGTTATGACCCCAATTTTGTCGGAATATTCGACTCGACTTAAGACCTTTGCCTCGAATGTCTGTTGATACACATATGGGTGGACCAAGTGCATGGTTCCTGGTGGCACGGGCAACCCTGCCACAGTTTACCAGAGCCACCTGTCTAGTAATGATCATGCTTGAATTCTTTGTAAAGAATTTCATCGATTTTGTGCTTTTTTGTTTTGGAACATAAAAGTAATTATTAGATATCATGCCACGGGTCCCAAGAAAGTCAGTGGTAAGGTTCAACCTAAGAAAATAGTTGTGAGTAGAGGCAGTAGAGGATGTCCCGATGTCCCTTCCTCGTTAAGAAAATGTGTGAAGTATGGGAAGAACTACAAAGTTTTGTTGGAAAGTTTTAACAAAGTTTCAACAAAGTTTTGTTGTTTTATTGAAAGTTGTAGCAGGCCATTGCATTGACCTTTTAAATGACAATGTGATATCTCACTACAGACAAGTGTTAAAATGTAGAGAAAAACAAGTGTCTTTAGACAGATTCTTAGTAAGACTTAGAAAGGGGCCTGACAGCTGAGTGGACAGTGCTTTAGATTCGTAGTCCTGAGGTTCCGGGTTTGATCCCTGGTGGAGGCAGAAACAAATGGGCAGAGTTTCTTTCACCCTGATGTACCTGTTACCTAGCAGTAAATAGGTACCTGGGAGTTAAGACAGCTGCTATGGGCTGCTTCCTGGGGGTGTGAAACAAAAAGGAGGCCTGGTCGAGGACCAGGCCACGGGGACACTAAGCCCCGAAATCATCTCGATAACCTGAAGATAAGACAAGCAAGCAGTGAGCCATAATTACGTTCTAGTGGGATGCCTGCAAAACGTAGGAGAGAGTGAGTACCCCAAAGAAGTCATTACCGCCTGATGTTATAATCAGGAGTAACACATCTCCTCCCCTCCCTCCTCACCATCTTTCATACGCCAACAAGAGTCCTTAATAAAGGTAAGATATACACGCTGTATTGTAGCTAGTACAAAAAGAGTGGTATTCAGTATAAAATGTATTTTTAAGTTAATATTTTTAGGGGTGTAGAATGGATCAATTCAATTTACATTATTCCTTATGGGAAAATTCATTTTGAGTTAAAAAATTTCGAGTTCCGGCCCGTCCCTAAGATGAAATTCGTAAGTGGAGGTACCACCGTACTTCAATACAACATAACGTAGGTTTTATACAGTAGACTTGAAAATCTGCATTTGATATTCATAATTTTGATAATATTAATTCAGTTATCCATGTTATTGCAGCAGTAGTTTGGTATATTAAATTCATGATAGGAGTAGCTATTCAATAGAATATCACTACAGACAAAGGAAAGGACCTGAGTTTGAGAAGGTGGTGAGGAATGTGATATAAGACTGAATGGGCAGTATGCACAGAAACCTTGTTAGGAGGTTAAAGGGGTTTCCCCTCTTATGAACATCAGACTTGCAAATTCCAGTTCTTACACACAGCTTCCAAAGTCCACCCCGTTTGGCATCGGGATACGCTATACGAACCAGCTCCATTGTCTCGAGTAATATGAACAGTGCTACTTTTACATCTGCGTAGTCATGTGGCTACAAGACGCTACAAAACATCTACGTGGCTAAGTGTGCAATGTGGCTGACTCGTGCTCATAGTACTGCCTCAAGTCAGTGATACTCTCGTGCTCAGTGTAGTCTGTAAACTATTTTAGATGTTCATCAAAATACCTACTATTAATAATAACAATTAGAAGAAAATGTGTGTGTTGGTGTTGCAGGAGTACCAAGGAAGAGGTGACCCTTTGCATTAAAAAGTAGCTATAAATAAACTGCTCTGGAAAGAGAGAAACAGCAACACAGGTCGTACATGTTCAGAGGCTGGGATGTGGGAGAAAATGATGATGATGTCATTTTACAGTCGGGTTCTATTTGAAGATATCCAGCACACCTTACCTTGAGGTGCTTCCGGGGCTTAGCGTCCCCACGGCCCGATTGTTGAGCATGTGACAGGTTGGATTTTAGATTTTGCTCCGTAAGTTTCTCTAGTAGTGTTGAGTGGAGAAAAAGTGAACAATTTTGCTCAGAATGGGGTTTTAGAGATGCCACTGTATTATCAAGGACAAGACTCGGATTTAGTCATCTACAATACGTAGTAATATTGAAGATGTCCTGCTAGTCTCCTTCATGTATCATCACCATCTACTGCCTCTTCCTTTACCAACTAGACCTTTTCACTCTTCAAAAGCATAGTCAGACAAACAGGGCAACTCTATCATTCAGGGTAAATAAGAAAGAAAAGGTTTTGGTATATTACTTTCCACAATTTTTTTTTATATCCCTTATGTTGACTTTCAGTGTTGTAGGAAAGCATCTTCCATTTAAATGATTGTGTCTATGGGAAATATGGTTCAGAGTTCTAAACAGCTAATTTATAAACATGTTTTTTGAACTCATTCGGTTCCTGAATTAGTTATTCCCTGTATAATAAATCCCATTGTTGGGAACAGGACGCCTGTGTATATATATATGCTCTAGTCTTGTATCAAGGTCCCCCTTAAGTCAAATTACTGAGCTTTCCCAGGATGCAGCCCCGCAACAATTGCCCGATTCCTATTTACAGCTAGGTGAACAGAGGTATAAGGTGAAGGGAAATGTGTATATAGTATACAGTAGAATAATAGTACACCAGTGAAATATAAAGTTGAAGAAAGCACAGTCTGGTAGATGGTGTCACAGAGCACGGAGATGAGTAATGTTAAGGAAAAATTCAGCCATCAAGGTGATGGTAACTTTAAAAAAAATGCCTTTGTCATTAGTGTATGTGAATATAACTGTCACTTTAATTGATTTAATAAGGCAGTCTTATTGCTTGTTGAGGTGATGAAAATTTATGAAGCGAGAAGAGAGGAGGATGGCCAGAGGAGTGATAGAAGGATTAATGTTTGAGGCACTGGTGGCATCTCTGTAGTATCCTTCAGTAACTGCTGTTTTTCCATTTCCCTTTAATCTATTTTCTCCTACAGTACATATCTGCTCTTGCTTTTCTATGACTTTACATGTGCTGAAATGAGTCTTCTCTTTGATTCCCCTTTTCCTGTTTCTTGTCCAGAAAGGTAGCATTTGCTACACTTTACCATTGGGAATTGCAATGTGTTTAGTTTTTTATAACTGGGAACTTGGAGGCCTTAAGCACCAGAATTTATAGAATAAATTACAAAATAGTCAGTACTCAAAATGTTTCAGGAAAATTCTGCATGGAAAGTAGTGAGAAGAATTTGGGATTTAGCATTACTGGTTAGCTACAGTATCTTAATAGATTAATGTTTGCAGAGCTGAGTCATGTTTACTTGAGTTAAAAGGTAATATGCATACATCTATATTTTTGTTATTTTCAGAAGTGAGGACCTGAATCTTAATTATTAGTGTATGAGATGTTTGTGTCCTATGAAATGTATGCATTTTAGTTTTGTATTATGCCTTGAATTGTATCACAGAAGATACTTTGTTGAACATTATTGGTATTGTGTGCTGTTTCCTATAAGAACCATCCATGTTGGATTTTACCAAATATTTCATCTAAAGTCAGCATGTGACATTGCCTACAATAGATTATTTAGGGAAAGACATTTGGTTAGTTGACAAGATACTTGGAAATTTTCTAATACCTGTACAGTTAGTTTTCATTACGTATTAATTATACCAAGGTATTATACCCATAAAATTTCTTGGTGATGACTGGCTACAGGCGATAAATAATATGGGAATCTTGGACATTTAAAAGTTTTAGCGTTCCAATAGAGATCATAGCTTATTTTGTGTGAAAACTGCCTTTTGTAAACAAAATGCATTACAAGAATTTAGAATTGCAGGGCTATCAGTTACTGAACATTTTCTCTTCATAATTTAGAACTGTTTACATAATATTGTTTTCTGCAGTGTTATGTGGCCAATATAAAATAAATGTTACTTTTTAATGTGATGTAACGCTACAATGGTTTCTTAAGAAATGTATAATATTCATGCTTAATTTTAGGCATATGTGCCAGGGAGTTCTAAAATTTGTATATAATGCTTGATAGGTATACTGTAGTGGCATAGTATAATATTGAACTAATAACTTGTGCACATTATGGCAAAATATTGATTATTGTAATGAAGTTGATGTTAAGTTGAAATATTAAGACAAACATAAAATTGAGAAGCAAGAATTATGATGTGGGGTAAAAATTATGTGCAAGCCAAATATGGTAGGCTATATATTTGTTAGATATTTCTTTATATTTGAGGAAAATATGTTGTAAATAACTCTGCAACCATTAGCTGCAAAAGAGCTGTCCTCACTCTGATGCAGTATCAGTAAACCAGTAATCGCTTTGTATTTTCTGCTATACAGGTATTACATCACCTCTATGCACTGGGTATTCAGTGCATGGTGATGTTTGCAGTCCTGAAATATTTTGGTATGCCCTTGAGGTGTCTTAAGAAAATATTAATCATTCCTAGAACCTCTGTAAAGATGTGCTTATTTTAGGAATCTTTATCTAACATTTCAGCAGCTGACTCAAGTTTCCTCTGTTAATTGCTATTTTAATATGGTTTTGACTACAATTGAGCTTTTAATATATACTACCTTATGTGTAGTACTGTATAGTTATTTTTGTTTAAATATGAGAATATTTGCTCGGAGATGCACAAAAGCATCCCTTTGACTAAATGCTGGAAGAAGAAATCCACCATTGAGTTGCCCACCACCTCATAGACTGGTTTTCAGTGTGATTGGAAGTTTTGCTCACTTACTCTTCCTGTATTGTATCTCGAGGTACTCAGTGAATCTGCATCCTTTGACACTGTTGATCTTACGTTTGTCTTCTCTCATATTGGACTCTTATATTATACAGTATTTTTTAACTCTTGAATATTCCTTATCACAAAGTGCTGTAACCTTCCCCGATTGGTGCTTTTATTCTGATACAGAAATTACTTCCCTAATGCTATTTGCCAGACATTTGATGAATGACATTGTAGTTTTTATATCTTTTTGTTTCTCAGTACAATATGTGCCTGCATATGAAATGGGAAGTCACTATGCATTTACAGTATTTCTTAACTTTTCACTTGATCTTTCATAAGTAATCTACTTTCAAAATGGCTGAAATGTCTTTGGAAGATTCTACAGCAGGCATCCCTCATCCTTAAGAGGGATTACCAAAGGGAACAAAGCTTTCATATCTTTTAAAAGATGTTCCGAGGTAGAGTTGCCTTTGCAGATAAGGGCACTTTTTTTTTTACTGTTCATATTAATATAAATAACTTTATTTTACTTGATTGCAGAGGACTTTTTAAAGTGTTTAAAAGTATAGTCTTAGCTATGTAAGCCTTGAGAGCAATATTGTAGGCAAGTCTTGTTGAGTAACAATTAAATGGGAGAAGGATCATGCTCTCTCACTGAATTCCTCTGAACATGAATTATCAAACATTCTACCATAATGCTGTATGAAGATAAACAACTATAATAGGATATAAATCCACACTTTCCAAGACTTTCGCACTCTCCTGAGTGCTTTGTCAAGGTCTGAGTGTGTGGTTAGGACGAAACTTGCATCTCGGCGTCTAATTAGGGTGCCATCCTGGGTCCTGACCTGACCTGACCATGTCACCTCTATTCCCGACTTGCGATGTACCTGCAGTAATGCCTTCTATGGAAATATGGTCATGTCCTTTCTGTAATCTGCTATTCTGGGAACTGGAGTTATTAATCGAGGTGTTCATCTGGATACTAGCCATCATATAACCCTTTCCTATAATTCTGGGACCTGGAGCGTGGCTCCTTAGGAGCCATGCTCCAGTTCCCAGAATATTGAAGCAGGATTACAGAAAAGGACACATGACCATATTTCAGTAGAAGTCATTACCGCGGGTACATCGCCACTCGGCAATAGAGGTGTTCTCGGTTCTCTTTATCTTTTTTATCACGATAAGAAAACTGAACCTAGGATAGCAGCCTCATTAGATGTTGAAATGTAAGTCTCGTCCTAATCACACACTCGGACATTGACAAAGCACTCGGGAGAGTGCGAAAGTGTGTAAATTCCATGCATAAATTTCACAAAGGCACAAGTGTGAGTTTTTATCCTGTTGTGTGTGTGTGAGAAGGCATTACCATCACTAAACTATAATGCTACAGAATTTAAGAAGACTATTATTTTAATTTGTTTTTAAATATTTTATCGAGGTAATTAGGCAATACCCTGTACAGTATATAGTCATGCCGAGTTTTCATGTAGATGGCTTTTGTAATGAAGTTTGGAGCAAGATGGGACATGGAGATGACTATTGTTGTCAATAATAAACAGCATATGGGGGTTCATTTGATATTGAGCATTTCAGCAAAAATTACATTTTTGTAAGATAATTGTTTGGAATGAGCCTTCTGAATCATTGTCTTTTAAGCATGTTATTTTGGTTGTAAATTGGTTGTGTAATGTATTTGGTGAGAGCTTACTTGTATATATTGTTGTCAGTTAAAAATGGAAGTGGTAATCTGCTTGTTATTTATGATTTACTTTATCTCCTTTAATTTTAATTATACATAGTCTATTTCTGTGGTTGAAGTCCACCAATATTAGAATTTTAGTTCTTGCTCCCCTTGCTGCTTTTTCCATTGCCTTTAGATAATTTTCATTGCCTCCCTTGTGTTCTTCCCTAGGCCTTCTGTTGTTTGGTGGGGAATTATGTCACTACTACCACTATCTTCATGCCTCCCACTGTTGCTATTTCTGCCATATACTCTTACTGGTCAGCTCCCTCTGCTATTTTTAGTTCTTCAAAGCTCTAGTGTAGCTGTAAAAACAGAGCTACCACCACCTCCCCTTCTGTGCACCCTCTCTCTCTCTCTCTCTCATTACTCGATACTCTCATGGGAAGATTGCATTTCCTATAACGTTTGTCAGTTTCGTTTCCGTAATCATGAGTGGTTGTACTTCTGCCACTCTTTCCTGTAACTATTCCTTCATTAGTGATCTGCATTCTCTACTTGCAATCAAGGATCCTGGGTTTGATTCCCAGGTAGGAGAGAAATGGCATGTTATCTTCCACCTTATGCCTCCATTCATCTTAGCAGTAAATAGGTACAGTACTGTGGGTTGCATTCTGGGAAAGTCAGTAGTTGACTTAGGAGGACCTCAATATATGTACTCAACTAGTTGTGCTTGTGGGGGTTGAGCTTTGGCTCTTTGGTCCTGCCTCTCAACTGTCAATCAACTGGTGTACTCAACTGTCAATCAACTGGTGTACAGGTTCCTGAGACTACTGGACTCTTATCATATCTACATGTGTGCAGGCTTCCTGTCCCCAACAACAAGAATTATGGTTAGTTATATTCGTACATTATGGCACCAAAGCATCTTGAAAGTGCTGCCATAAAACAAATTACCTTCCCCAAAATGTAACCCACAGCAGTTGTTAAACTCCCAGGCACATTTATTGCTATATGACCCGAGGGATCAGGGTGGGAGTCAAATCTGGGATCATTGGTCATGGACGGACTGTTACAAGCTATACTGAAGGTTAATCGAGTAGCGTTTTAGGCGAGTAAGATCTGTATTAAAAGTGTCAAAATCTTTACATTCATTTAAATATATTGTTGTTCAAATGAAAATTGTAATAAAATGCTAACAAAAATTACAAAAAACTAAATATATAAGCAACACTCCACTGAGCAACCATTTATAATTTTCATAGCAACAAATCTCTTATTTTATTAATACTGACCCTGATTATGTTAGTTTACTATCACATCTCTAAACACTTGCATATAAAGTTCAATACATATTGTATTACATCACATCACTTTGGAAAAGTTAATTGCAAGTTGCACAGTTCTTGTGTATGCTAGACATTGGCCAACATACTCACGGAACTTTCTTGTTGAGGATTCGTACGAGTAGAGCAGATTTGTGAAAATAGAAATACCAATAGTGAAAAGTTTTGTAAATGACATTATTTATAAGTGAAAAAAGAAATTGGTAGAGATTAAGACCGAACTGGTGTATCACAGGACATTTAATGCCAAACAAATTTGAAAGAAATCACCACTATATTAAGAACATTATTTACTAGCCATGAAAGACAAGGGATGAGGCAGATATCATGACAAACTTTGAAATTACAGTTTTACAAATACGGGCAAGTAACTAGCATTAGTTTTCTGTACTGTAAAAAAAAATATATATATATATATATATATATATATATATATATAGTTTAAAAAAGTAATTTCACCTTCTGTTGAAAGGTTCTGGATATTGCAGTGGCTGTAAAATGCTGCTTTGCAATATACTGGATCAGCAACCAAAATTATAAATGTAATAACGTATGTGCATAAAACAAGAGCCAATATGACTCCATATCTGGTGGTTACTATTCATACATGGCCAAGGAACATATGATGAAACTCATTTATACGAAAATACAAGATTGCCATTTGTTCAGTTTACCTTAAAACATGACCAATGCTATAGCCCATTTGGTCAAAGCCCACACATCACGTTCACAAAAGTAACCAGTGTATAATTATATGTTCATTTACAGGTTTGCACTCGATACATACTGTATAATAATGAGTAAACTGTACAAATAAAATGATCTATGATTCAGGGAGTATAAGACAAATGAAGTGGAACCAAGGCATCAAAGCATGGTATTATAATGCACTATCAGCATCTATTACCGTTTGTAAAATTACACGGCTCTAGTGTGCTGTCACTAATCAAAATACCCATCAAAAAGACAAACTCCTTAAATTTTCCATTCAAGAAAGGTATTACAAAAGCAAAAAAAATTAATTTTGGCTCCTTTCCAAAATTTTAAAATCTTTTAAAATCATAATTTGACATTACATACTGCTCACAAAAAGGGTAGACTTACGTTGGTTGAAGGTTCTCTTAGAAAAACTTCCTTTAATATAACCTGCAACATAGGGCAGGGAGAGATTCTTGTATATCCTGTAACTATATACAGTACTGCAAGTAATTTATTGGGCTGCTTACATTGGGCATACAACAAATGCCCTTTTGTTTGCCATAAAATTTAATTGTGTATTTTTAGTTTAATAAAATAAAATTATTGAAAATTTTAACTAAATAATACTCACAATGCCTGCTTACACGAAAAATATATAATTGACTAGAATAACATTTTTTAAATATAGTACTGTACTGTACTATACATGTTGGAGAATAGGAAAAATTACACATTGTTCATCTTATTTTAGCAAAGCTACCATTACCTATTGCCATATAGTAGCTAAACACCCTTATTAGAAGACTAATTAAAAAAAATTACCTTCTCCAAGTCCTACTAGGACCAGTGTCACCAAACGCTCCATTCCTGAAGCTACGCAGATCAGCTGGGTCAACTACATCTTCCAAGCCCGCTTTATCCTCCTCTCGTTCTAATTCTTTTTTCTTTTCCTCTTTCTCTTTTTTCAGGCCATATAAAGGCATTCCCATGAAAGTTGGTAAACCATCTTTGTGTTCCTGAAAAGAAACATCATTTCAACTATATAACACTAGAATATATACCACCATATACAACAGAACTGGAGGTGGGGATGCCAATACTGGGAACATATTATGTATATGTCCTAATTTATTTTCCTAATACTGTACTGAAATGCCCCTTTAATATTTTGGAAATTTAAAAAATTTACCCTTTTTAGGGGCACTTACATAAGCTGAGATTGTACATTTAGTTAAAAGATGCAGATGTTAGTGATTAAATTACCACTGCAATTGCAAAACACCTGTGGGCAATACGGGAGTCAACAATTTCTTTATAAAAATTATCATTTTATGCAGGCGATGAGTCATAATAACGTAGTTGAAGATATGCCGACCAAACCACACGTCAGAAAATGAAGAAACAACGATGTTTCAGTACGTCCTGGACCATCATCAAGTCATGTAACAGAAAGAGTGGAAGAGCCAAATAAATAAGGTAAGAAACTGAAATGAAAGGTGAGAAGCCTGTACTGTACGATAAAGGTAAGAATAAGATGAAAGGCAATAAGAAATGATAAGAATAAGAGTAAGGAAAGAATAAGAGAATTCAGTAAAGGACGCATAGCTACATAAATTACTGGAAGTACTGTAGTCCACTACTTTAGTCATACTCAAGGTACTGGTATTGAAGAACTAACATTTCATTTGGGCTCGCTCCCCAAGCATACAACAACAACAGTAAGGTATGTCGCACTCCACCTCTTCAACCCGATACCGAGATTATGGCTAATATTGGAAAATACTTGGCATGCTTTCTGTCCTGCATATCCAACAAGTCTTATTATTTAAGTGTTTAGAAAAAGGAAAATTCTCCATTTAATAGTTTCTTTCCAACATCCTGGCTATGGACATTCACAATGTGACCAGGATCAGTATCATCTGCTACGGATAACAGACGAGTTAAAACTATTTCCACTAGCATACACACAGAGCTTTGGGCAAGTCATTAATCCTAATATTCCCCAGAATACGACCCGCCAAATCATTTAACAATCAAGTACCCATTTTACTGTTGGGTAAGCAGAGACTACAGTTAAGGATTGATGCTCAGTAAATCCTCCTCGGCCAGGATATATGAACCCAAGACTAAGCTCTCGCAAAACGCCAGGCGAGTGCCTTACCTCTACACCACGGGAACTGCTAATTTACATTTTTTTATTTTACAACAATACCGTGAAATGGTGATACCGTATACTGCTATTACTTCTAACCAATTATTTGATGACATGTTTGTGTTTTTGTTACAGGTAAGGTGAATGCCATCATTCCTTTGAATACAGCAATAGCCTTACATGTGACTCGGCTTACAGTAATTTTCCATACAACAATACCGAGTGAAACTATTAAGACAGCATATCAGAAAATATGTGATTAAAATATTATCCAGAATTTACCTTGCAAAGTGAAGAACGTCTTCTGGCTGGAACTTCTTTAACTTTCTCTTTTAAGTTCTGATATTGGAACACACCCGAGCCAGGTAAACCAGGTGATGAATCCCCTTTGAACCATACCCTGAAAATTAACAGATGCAATTATGAAATCATATTTTACATACAAAGTACTGGTGAATGAGAAATACAAGAGGGCAAGATAGTAAACAAAAGCCAATAATAAAGGAAAAAAAAAAGAGTAACATTTAATCAGTGTTAATAAAGACCAGCTGATACGGATGATTTCCAAAACAAAATATATAAGTACCTCGTATCTGGCAGTTGTAGAGGGACATTGCAGAATGAATAAGAGTGTGTTGCAAGATACTAAACAATGCATCCACCAAAACCTAGACTAATTTGTTACAAGCATGTTATGGATGAGGAGAAATTTGGGATTTCCAGACACTCCCTTTTTTGACTATTTATGATCACAGTAAATGTTTAGATTTTAGCAAATGATAACACTATACATCCTTGCACATATTTAAACAAAATATATAAACTTAGCAATACCAGGCCCCATAATACATAATAAACCCAATATGCTAAAAATGTACACAATTATAATTCATTAAAATTGGGAGTTAAATAATGTCAAGCACTTTTCAGGTGGGAGGGGGTTTCAGTAGCTACCAGAGCTAAGCACTAGACCAGCCACGCTTAGGAATATGCGCCAGGCCTCCGAGACTTGTCCTTGCCTACTGGGAGCAAAGACTAGAATCTGGCTCGCTCTCTCTACAAGGGAAACTTGGGGATTACAATTCACCTCAGGCCCAAGAAAAACAAACAACAAAACAAGCAACTGCTTGAAGAGCATTAGGTGCCTGAGATAATGAGGTATTCTTAGACCATTGTAACCAGACCACTGACAAGGATAGAAACAAAGCTTGAACCTACATCATTAATCTATACAATGATCAGTTATGAGCCAATATCAGAGAGATGATGTTAAGACCCTGTGTCAGATTATTCACATTCCCCAAGACTATCTGATAATTAAAAAGAGTAGTAGTAGGCATCCATTAGTCATAGGAGACTATGGAGTTGCGCTCTGGTTGTCAGTCTGGAGTGGCCTCTCCAGGGCGCAAAGACAGGGTAGGTTGATATGGAGAAGTTGTCACCCAAGCAGCAGATTCCCCCCTCTCCACAGCACCAAAAGACTCCAATGGAAAGGCAAACGCCAATATGATTGGTTCCAGCACTGTTGTGGGAACTGTCAGAATGAGGTTGAAGGCAACAATGAACTGCCCTAAGGGCTCCAGTTCTAGAGTTAACCTCGAAGTTGGTAAAAGAAGGAACGGACTCCAAACCGAGAGACTGCCATGGTCGAAGTACACATTTAATTATAATTTTATGTCCACAGATATATCATATGTACATATCGTTCCAGAAACTACTGAGACAATGTATAGTATTTATATGTACATGGTCCATTAGTTATGGATTCCCAAAGACTTGTGTTTTGAGTGATTTCATATTTCTCTGCAATTGTTGTAGTGTGGGGGAAAGTGTTGTCTGTCCCACAGCATTGTGGAGCTTGTTATGTTCCCTCTTTTGTCCCGTGTGTGTGAGTACTGTGACAATTTTGTACCACACAAACTGCAATTTGATGATACAGATGTTGGTGTTGCACCCCACTTTTCCGTATACAGGTGAAGATATTAGTGAAAGTTAATATGTTATGGTTCATTTTGATGAGCCATCATCTTGCTAGAGCACATCATACAGGATTATTGGAACAAAGAAAGCACTGTTCCATCCAGTGTTCAACAAATATATCACGAAACAGGTTCCTGATACTGGTTCGGTGCCTACACTTTGAAAACCTTGAAAATGTTGATTGAAATGATCAACTTTGGAAGGTGCAAAAAGTAAGACAGTGGCAAAATTCTGTTTGGAAGAAACAGAAATTTGAACAAGCCAGATTGTGTCATTGACTACAATATAAATTTGAGATTGGTAGATAAACATGACATGATGGTTAGTGCCGTCGAGTGTGTTCATAAAAGTGTAAAGTGGACAAAGAAATTGTTCTTTCACCTTGTGGACATAACAGGACATTGAGGACATCAAGTCCAGTTCAGTGTGCCTGCAGTACTGTAGTTTTATATATAGCATGACATGGTACTATAACTGAATTTTGCCACCTCTTATCAAGACCACACTGTATTACAAAAGAGTATGTGAACAAATAGATTTTGTTTCTTTCATGCATAATTATTACTTAGGGGCACTCAAAATAATTTTGTATATACAGTATTAGCTGTCTAAATGTGCATAAACATGTATCACTTCATAAACCTATATTGTCACTTATTATAAGAAAATTTTGTGATAGTCCCCAAAAGAAGTACGATGCATATTAATATGACTGCACCTTTTACAAATGTGACTTATTATATCATTACATTTATTATTATTATTATTATTATTATGTATATTTACAAATAATTATGCTCAAGGTATCAATATTTAATACAGTATTATTTCAGTAATACATGGAATTGTTCATATTGAACATTCATCCAAAAAATATTCTAACGCTTACCTATATGTTAAGAACCATGTTGCTATGGCAATAGCACCCCCGGCAACCTTCTGTGGCATGGTGTGGAAGAAAATGATCGTGCACGCCAACATTACATCACTCAAGATACTCATAAGTGTCATGATGCAAAAGATGCCCCGGATATATGGTGTAAACTGGTCGTAGTTCAACTGGAAAAAATAAAATAACCTTTTATCTCTAAAATTACTAAACATATTAAGACAAATCTGAAAACCTAGAAGTAAAATCTAGGTTTGTGATCACAACCAATCAATGGAGATATTTCCAGTTCCTATGCCAGGTATCTCTCTCTCTCTCTCTCTCTCTCTCTCTCTCTCTCTCTCTCTCAATAATTTAGACATTATGATATTAAATAAAAATAAACTGTCACTCCCATCTCCCTCTGTATATACTGTACACAGTACAGGAAGCCATTGATGTGGGGGAGTTATGTTCATCAAAATTTGCATGCAGCAAAAACTGACGATCTAACAAAGCTTCTGTAAGAAGGGAATATATCGTTATGTTCCAGAAGTCAAGTCTTCTTTTTACTCGACAGAACACTTACATGAATATTAATATTTAAATGTCCGTCCATTTTCTGACCACATAGTGCAATACATAATGAACTCCAGAAAGCTTTATATCTGCAAAGCTTTGGCATTCAGCATTTCAATGGTTTTGAGAGAAAGGAGAGGAGATACAGGAGAGGTGGGGATGAGAGGAGATAAAGCAGAGGGGAGATACCACAGAGGGAAGGGAGAGAGGGGATGCAGCAGAGGAAGGGGAGAGAGAGAGAGAGAGAGAGAGGGAATACAGCAGAGGAAGGGGAGAGAGAGAGAGGGGATACGGGAGAGGAAGGGGAGAGAGAGAGGGGATACAGCAGAGGAAGGGTAGAGAGAGAGAAGGGATACAGCAGAGGGAGGGGATACAGCAGAGGAAGGGGGGAGGGAGGGGATACAGCAGAGGAAAGGGAGAGGGGGGATACAGCAGTGGGAAGGCAAAGAACATTTAAAATCTTCATGCTATATGATCCTATATATTCGTGTTTAGCTTATATATAAAAAAAACTGTAGCCTGTACCAATGTAAATCAGTCATCATTCACATAGGGGACAGTGAGTGCTTAGTTTTTAGTACTGTACTGTACAGTACTTGAAAAAGGGGGATCATAAGTGATAAAGTTTTTACTTTAATAATATAACTAATTACCTTTAGAACAACCATTTCTTCTTCTGAAAGACTCTCCAAAGGTGTCTTATTTTCATTGGGGTCAATTTGACTTTCTCCACGATTGTGGCGCTCTATTCGTATTTGGTCACGAATTCCCTCCCAACCCACAATCGCCTTGGCTTCCTCCACAATAAACAAGTTGATATAGACAAGCAGGAAGGCATGCCCTGTGAAAAGCAACCATTATTGAATATGTGAAGTTTAATGTACACTGCACTGTGTAGTGCAGTGTACCCATAAAATCATGACCTCATTGTGATTTTATGCATTACATTTAAGTTTGTTACCTCTGAAATACAAGGCCCAGAAGACTCAACCAATTATTTTTTCCCATACTGTACTTTTTAGATTTTAAAGTGAATACATGTCTGTCAATTCCTCTAATATACTGTAGACTATGGTACTGAAAGTCATGGCTTGCAATTCTGAGTCACCATTATTTAATTGCTAGTAGCTAATCAAGAAAATACTGTACTGTGTCTGGGAATGAGAAACAACTCTTTTAAAATGTTATCACTATATGATAGTATAGGATATAGTGAAGAAATCGGTATGATACACATGAGCAACTTTTAAATTAATAGAGTAATGCTAAAATTTTATTAAGTCAGTCAGGGATCAAGTGCAAGTAATTCTACTGGTTATTTAACCTTATTGAATGTTACTTTATGTCCATCTATAATAACAAAAATTAACATTGTGCTATCCTCCATTATTTTCCACAATTTGTGATCTTACTGGATAATTAACTGGCAAAACCTTGTTGCCTTCTCTCCCCTAGTCTCCAGCAATTGATGTGAGGTTGGTCTAGGACTTCAAGATGGTATTCCTTTCTTACCTAAAGCTGGCCTTGATGGTGCTGCAAGACTATCCTTGCCTAGTATTACAAGTCCCTTGCCTTTTCCCCATCAGAACCTAGAGTACTTTCTTGATCATCTGAACATTGCCAGCATAGTCATCCCATTGCAAGTAGGATTTACATTCTTGCAAAGCCACTAACATGCATAGCAATTTGGGCAGATCCTTAAGCTAACAATAAATAAAAATAGGTACATTGTAACAATTAGAATTCAACACAATAATTACATTATAAAGTGATAGAATTTATTAGTCTGATGAAATGGCATGTCTTATGTACTAAATTGGGCGAGTGTGAAGCACACGATATAGTGAGAGTTAGTAGCTATAGTATGGGAAACTATGCAGATTAAATTAGATACTCTTTGGTTCCATTTGTGAATAAAGTATAGGTCGGACAATCTATTTGAATACTATACAAGATAGTGTAACCTACGTTGAATAAGCGGTCTAATGAATGTTTTATTTATCCTGTATCCAGGGAAAAAGCTTCAATATTGGCCTTCACTTAATTACTGTACCTCATTAAACCGTATGGACGTGCATCCACAATTGTCAACTGTATTCCTAAAATCTAAAAAAAAAAAAAAACAAGCATCAAACATTACATAAATGCATTTTTTTTTTAATAAGCGACAAACCAAGGTAGTTATTGGCTTACCCTTATGTATTGTATAAAATATTATAGAAAATATTTACCTGATATATCGAATGAATGCCAGTGGAAGCCTCCAGCGTTACAGTCGTACTTGTTTCTTATTATCGCTTTCCCCAGACACGAACCGGTTCGGTTTTCAATAAAGGTGAAGAACCACTGGCTCCAGAAGTACCACAAACACGTACCGACAATTAGTCTCGACATGTGTCTCTTGACCACCTCTCGATGGCCGCAGCCGATCGTGGCACTCGTTAAGAGAATAAAGGCTCCCACCACCAGAATCATCCAAGCCCAACCAACTTTAACAAAATACACATTAAATATATTATCTCTCTGACCCATATACGCTTTTGGTAATGGAAGGAAATCACACAAAAGTGACCCAAAGAAAAGTCCAATGGAATACAAGGTTATTTTGACTTCGGTTTGGATAAAAAGGACTTTGCGACAGCCATGAACGACAATGAGACTTAAGACTTGCTGTACAGAGGCTTGCTCAGGCAGGGGCTTGGTGCCCTTGCTGGCCCACCGACCCTTCTCGATGGGGGACTTCGGGGACCTCTGTGTCTGGTGGACGGGCCGGGTCTTCTTTGACGCTGAGGAGCTTGCCGTGGGCATCCTGGCGGGCGCTCGAGGCTCTGCAGGACTTGCTAACCCTCGCCAGGGGCCACAAGGGAACTATATACACACAGTCACTGTCACTGTCGCCCGCAGCCAAATCTATTTCGGGCAGAGGGTCCCTGGTCCATGATGAGGCGCGTCAGTACACGCTCTGGTTCCCAGTACACGCCGTCTCGTAGCTACAGTAATTGTAGCACAGATGTAGCACGAGCTGCAGTTTGAAATGCATTAGTATATTTAAAGGCGGTGTGAGGAGGGTCATGTGTGGTGGGGCGTCGTCTGCGGCTCCTTCAGCAGCGGCAGACGACGCACTCCACCTCTTCCTAACACATGTACTCAATTACACGTGTTATTTATTTACAAAATGTATTTTTATATATTTAAAGTTTAAATAAATACAAAGCTTGTCATTGCTCATCATTGGCTCGAACTGGGAAATAATTAAGACTTGTCATCTCGGCGCGAAGTTTAAAATAATGACAATGTCCAAATTGCATCACTGATCATTTTTTTTTATTAATAAGCTTAGGTGCACACGGCAATGTGCTGCTACCCTTTTTTATGCAAAAGTTTACATAGTATAGATCAAAAGCCAGCTGTGAGTTCACCTAAGATCCCCATCTCACAAGATGGTTAGTCACACATGGAGTCAGGAGAAAACATAAGATGCGAGTATAGTCTACTAGCCAGCACTAGCAAACTCTGGTTAGAGCACGAGAATATCTTCCAGTATTCATGAGTGTATGAAGTAGGTGAAGTATCTCACACCGCTCGGTTTGAAGTCATTAACTGATAACAGTGCCACAGAGTTAACAATACTGCATACCAAACATGACAGGTCTGATCTCACCGAAACTTTTAAAATACTTAACAATATGTAGGATATTCATCCTATCTTCAAAAAGTCAGATATATCACAAACAAGTAGCAACGGCTTCAAGCTCAACAAGCCACAATGTAGGACAGAAAACAGGAGATGCATTTTCACCCACAGGGTTATAAACCCATGGAACTGCCTGCTCGCCAAACCTGTAAATGCCATAACACTGCCGAATTATAAGATTCACCTTGATAAAATCATCAGGACAAACTGGGGGACCTTTGATAAGACGCCGTCTTCCTGTACTCGTCGAAGCCACTGTAGAGATAATGACCCTCAGGTAAATTCAGGTAGTCAGGTAAATATTCACATAGCTAAGAGTATCTACGGGGATCTATAGATACTACGGTTAGTATCTATAACCTGTTGCGTTATACTTTAACTATTCTGACAAAATTGTTTGTTGAATCTAGTCTTAAAGTTGTGGATGGAGGTTGTTTCCACAACTTCTTGCACTGTATCCCACTTGTTGATCACCCGCACGGAGTACGAGTGGTCAACAATGTGACCTTAGGCTAATCTGCGTTTCCAACTTCCACCTGTGTCCTCTTGTCATACTTTCTTTCCACTGGAACAGGCTAACCTTTCCCACCTTATCTATTCCCCACAAAATCTTATATGTTGTGATTATATCCCCTCTGTTCCTTCTATCCTCTATCGTTGTGAGATTAGAGTTTACTAGCATTTCATGAATTTATTTTAGTTAGCGCTGAAAACCTGAAGTTATACCTTCGTTTTCTATATTTAGAAGTTTTCACGGCTTATAAGTTCTCTCTGACCGTACTTTTAATGACAGACAAACCTGAATTTACCTGAGGGTCATTAACACACAATTGGCCCCGACGAGGACAGGAAGCTGGTGGCTTGTCAAAGGCCCTCCCATTTGCCCTGACGATTTTTTTATACATTATACATTATTATATATGTGTTGTTTGTTGTTGTTAAAGATTCGCTACTTGGAACAAAAAGTTCCAAGTAACACGGTCTATGGTGAGCCCGTAGTTATGTATATATGTGTGTAAATCGCGAAAATAAACACGTGATTAAAAATGTGACAGTGTCAGACTCCTTCTGAAGATGTATTAATATATGAAAGTACTTAAGGAAATTCCTGTTTCGAATATTATATATATTTTTTTTTGTTTATTAACAAGCTTAGGTATACACAGCAATGTGCTGTTACCCTAGTATATTTGAAAGACTACACAGCGTAGGTAAAAAACTAGTTATAAGTTCATCTAATATTTCCATCTCACAGGATGGTTAGTCATACATGGCATCAGGGGAGAACATGAAATATAAGGCCCCCTCTAGCAAAATCTGGGTACAGCACAAGAATATCTTCCAATATTCCTGAATGAAGTAATTACAGAGCTCAAAGTACCTCAAACCATTTGTTCTGAAATCACTTATAACAGGGCAATCACAGATAAAGTGTTGGAGAGCATGTCCCAGCTCTTGTTCACATAGTTTACAACTGGAATGTTCACCATTGGGAGGATTCATTACCTGCAGCCACCTGCCATAGATATCGATATCCCAGCCTAATTCTGGCAATAACAATGTCACACTGTCTAGTGGATGTTTTATGCTGCCCGTACATATAATTCTCCCTTCTAAACATGCCATAGCTCTTTATACTCGTGCTTTCTGGCCTTTGTGTGTCAGTAACTGCTCTTTTGTTCTTCCTAATTTCCTGAAATATTGCGGCTTTTACAACAGAGTTTGGAATGCCCATATCCAACTCAATTTCAGGCTTATCACATGCAGTTTTAGCTGCCTTGTCTCTGTTATCGCAGACAAGGCAGCTATTATTATTATTATTATTATTATTATTATTATTATTATTATTATTATTATTATTATTATTATTATTATTATTATTATGCTGGACAACACCCATGTGAGATGGTATCCATACAAATGAGACTCTGAAACTCTTGCTCTTTGCATTAATAATGTTTATAATGGATGTTACAACATTTCTAGTGACTATTTTGCATGTCGGGTTTTTAAGGGCCTGAAGAGCTGACTTTGAATCACAGAAAATTACTCCTCCACTGTTCTTCAGTGCGTTAGTGGCCAGTTGTAGTGTAGCTAATTCTGCATGTGTGGAGCTAAGCCAGTTATTGTCTCATGCACTGGCCAGTTAAGCCAGTGCATGTGTGGAGCTAAGCCAGTTATTGTGTCTCACACTTGTGGTCTGTGTACATATGTTGTCTTGGTATATTCTACAGGCTGCTGCGGTGCGATCTGTTGACATTTGAACAGACCCATCAGTGTAAGCCTAGTGCTCGTGAGCCCATAAGTTATTTATATTAAGTTAGTATTAAGTTTTAGTCTTTAGTGTTTTTCCTGCCCGAAACGCTTTGCGTAATAGTGGCTTTAGGCATTGTATGTACTAGCTCTATCTATAAATTCATCAATATTTGTATCACCCCTTGTATGTATGTACTTTACCTGAATAAACATTTGAATTTGAATTTGAATTTATAAAGGAATCAATGATTCAAGTGTTGTTGCTTTCATGAGAGCCGGATTCATATATTATTTGACATATAATATTTTATTTTATATTTTGACATATAATATAACATATTATATTAACATATATTGTTAATATTATCAATATATAATATATATTGAGATATAATATTTCTGCTCGAAACGCTATGAGTGTTAGTGGTGTTTTTAATGGTGGGTTGCTATGCAGTTATATCCTGCATAGCAGATTATATATATATATATATATATATATATATATATATATATATATATATATATATATATATATATATATATATATATATATATATCAAACCAAACCTAATTTACCTAACTTAACCTAATCTAGCATAATTAAGTCAGTAATTTATGTTCCTATTATTATACTATTAATTTCATAATATTAATAATTTTAAGAAAGCACCAATTTAGAAAGAAGAATAGTATTTGGTAATAACAGAAGTCACCCTGCCGGCCTCTGCCCCGCCTCCACATCACACATACACAGCAGACAAATCCACACCACACAGACACAGCAGACAAGGACAGCCTTTCTAAATTTAGAGAAAAGTGGGGAAAACAAGACATAGGAAGGAGCCGAAAACACAAACGACTCGATAACATGTCAAGAAATACTCCTCGTCTCTGAACGAACGATCCACAAGCGGGAATTACACTGAAAGCAGACGTCCCGGAAGCCACCTCCACCCACACCTGGAAGAACAAATCACAACTCGAACATTCACGATAACGAATACGAACTACATATACAGACAGCCTGAATACTATGCCCAGCACAGATCTCACCCTCGAGACACACTGATAGATAACACAGACTGATAGACAACACACATTGATAGATAAGTATATGCTACCGGTAATAATCTCTCCCCTCGCCCCCTCCCCCTCTACCCTGATACAGAGGAACTCCTTCAGAAACAACTGGGCGCCAAAACAGTAAAGAAGGCGAGAATTTTGTGACGCGCAGGAATTAAGATTAATTAGATGATTTAATTACTAAAATGTGCTCGTCGAGCCTTCATCACCGCCAGCCCACCTGAAAAATTGGCCCCACTAAATTTTAATTACGACCCAAAGAAATGCGAGGACGGCGCTGGAGAGAGAGAGGGGGGGTGAGGGAGGGAGAGAGGGAGGGAGGGAGGGAGGGAGGGGGAAGAGAGAGGCAGTGTGGACCAGGAAGAGTGAGGGAAGGAGTGATGGGAGAGTGTGAAGAGAGAGAGAGAGAGAGGGGGGGGAAGAGTGTTGTGAAAAAGATGGTAGTGGTTTGGTACTTGCCTATCACCGCTTGGCTATCTCTGCCTCTCTTTTTACTGCTTACTTGTCAGTGTCTTCTACCTGTCAATGTCTTCTACCTGTCAATGTCTTCTACCTGTCAATGTCTTCTACTTGTCAATGTCTTCTACCCGTCAATGTCTTCTACCTGTCAATGTCTTCTACCTGTCAATGTCTTCTACCTGTCAATGTCTTCTACCTGTCAATGTCTTCTACCTGTCAATGTCTTCTACCTGTCAATGTCTTCTACCTGTCAATGTCTTCTACCTGTCAATGTCTTCTACCCGTCAATGTCTTCTACCCGTCAATGTCTTCTACCCGTCAATGTCTTCTACCTGTCAATGTCTTCTACCTGTCAATGTCTTCTACCTGTCAATGTCTTCTACCTGTCAATGTCTTCTACCTGTCAATGTCTTCTACCTGTCAATATCTTCTACCTGTCAATGTCTTCTACCTGTCAATGTCTTCTACCTGTCAATGTCTTCTACCTGTCAATGTCTTCTACCTGTCAATGTCTTCTACCTGTCAATATCTTCTACCTGTCAGTGTCTTCTACCTGTCAGTGTCTTCTACCCGTCTACCAATGTCTTACGTGTCTACCACTACCTTGTGTTCCCAGCTTCCACAGATG